TAGAGAGAAATTCAGAGGGATGTAGACTCAGAATTATAGAATAAAATACAGAACCTTTGCCAAAAAGTTTCAGTTTTTATTTATTTTTCAAAGAGTTTCAGTATTTATTTCTCTATATTAAAAAAATTATTAATTGATATAAAAAGAGTTTTTATTTATAAAATACAGAATTCTCAATATACATGTGCACTGCTTTTTGGATTTTGGAAAATTTTTATTTTTTTTAATTTGCACTTTATTTTTATTTTTTATTTTTTATTTTTATCTTTACTTTTCTTTTATACTTTTATTTTTATTATATATATATATATATATATATATATATATATATATATATATTTGTTTATTGTCGGCGTTCTCCAATAGTGTCATTTTCGGTCATTTTATAAAATTATTTACTTTTATATATTTTATAAAATGGTTTAGAAATGGTAATTTAGTCAAATTTATGGTTTAAATTTGTCAAGAGGACTATTTGCACTAGATTGAAACTTTATGGGTATTTTTTGCACGAGAGGGGCATCCTCGAATAATGTCATTTTCAGTCATTTAACAAAATTATTATTTTTATATATTTTATAAAATGGTTTGGTAAGGGTAATTTAGTTAACTTAAGGTTTAAATTTGTCCGATGGACTTATTTGTAATAAATTAAAAACTTTGTGGGTATTTTTTGCACATAAGTGGTGTGATATACACTGTAAGCATACTTTAAGAGTATTTTTTGTACTTGACAATAGTATATATTTTTCTTGTAGTACACTACTAACCTAAATAGGTTATTTTTTTCTCAAATTACATAATTACTTTTTCAAATCTTTTGCGCTCTATTTGATAAGATCTAAAAAAAAATCTCTTTTAATAGGATCCGAGAAAAAAATATTTCTCTCTTAATAAATGTTTTTTTTTTTACATGGCCCAAAAAAAATTATTTATTTTTTATTTTTATTAAATAAATTAATTCTTTTGATAGGTTCCAAAAAAATATATAGTAGGCAAAAAAAATATATTTAAATAAATTATTTCTTTTGGCAACACTCTAAATAAAATTTAAAAAGTTATCAATGTTGAATAAATAAATTCTTTTGAAAGGACCTACAAAAATATATAAGAAAAAAAAAAAAAATTCTCTCAAATAAATAATCTCTTTTGATATGCCCAGTATATATACACACAGTGTATATTTATATCTTTTGACATGATAATAAAAAATTAAAAAATATTAAAGGGAAGTAAAGAACTTAATAAAAGTTAAAGCTTATATGTCACATGGTATAAAGATAGTTCACTTATTTATGGCCAATCAAATATAGTAGGTCTAATAATTCTGTCTAAGTGATTGGTGCAAGTATCATTACTTTTAAGAATCAGAAAAAGTAGTAAATAAAGAAATCAAATAAGGTGGCTGAATTTATTTCAAAAAAAATTTATTGTCCTTATTTAACACTGTCCTAATTGTGTAATTGCAAACTATTTGTGTGTGATTGGTCTACATCAACGGTGTACTTACAGCTGGTAAGTAGGTACAAAAGTGTGTAAACTATAAAAACGAGTCAAGGTGGCCATAAACTAGAGAGTCTTGACCAATTTGAAAGATCATTAGATGTAGTTGAAATGACAGAATTTGGGATTGTTCGATCAAGTAAGGGAAAGTCAATAGAATTCAAAATCCTTCTTAATTTCAATTATAACAACAATTACGAGTATATGTAAACCCCAGAATAGAAATTGTTACACTAATATTTAATGGGGAAGTCTTTTCAAAAAAAAAAAAATGATGGAGTATTAATTGGTTTAGGGAAATTATTGTCGTTCCATCTAAAAGGAAAAAGACAAAGGGAGTGCTAAGTCACAATTCGAGCGCTCCCGATCTCACTCTCCACGCATGCTCTTATTCATGTTTTCACTATTTGTGACTTAATTTTGCCGTTGCCACTTTATGTAACTTAAATGGAGTGTAGTTGTAGAATAGGAAAGGACCGATATCACCTTCCATTTTTTTATTTTTTATTTTTTATTTTTTATTTTTTATTTTTTCTATCTTTTAATATTTATAAGATCTAGTATTAAAGCCCACAAATTTATTATTATTATTATTATTATTATTTTTATCTTGTGACATGCAATCAAGTAAAGTTTTTTTCTTTCTCTCTCTCTTTTTTTCTTTTTTTTCTTTTTTTTTTTACAGATAAATAAATAAAAACTTGTGATAAATCTAGTATGGACATGATAGTTATTAAAATGAACATCCCAGCTCAGTCATATGAACTGTACGAGAACAATTTACATCAATATAATGAATAATACAATAACAAACAAAGAAACATAGAGTTGGGCAGTGTGAATCTTTCACGGGTTTTTGGCATCAAAGAAGAACATTTGGTCATTTCCGAAGATATGTATGAATAAATTGTTGTTTATCCTTGTGTGGGTGTGAATATATACTAGCATAATTTAAAGAAAAGAAAAGGATGAAGTGAAAGTAAATGTGTACAACCACCAACAATGAAACATATTACTACTACTGCACCCAACCCAAGTGATTTTTAGGGTTTGGATGTGTTTTTCTACTCCTGATTTTTTTTTGTCTCTCACTAACTGCTATAAGATTTAGTATTAAAGGCCAAATTTTTTTTTTATCTTGTGACATGCAATCTAGTAATTATTTTTAATCTTGTGTTGATTATACAATTACCAAGAAGGAAACAAAACTTGGGCTGTGAATCTTTCATGGGTTTGTGGCATCAGAGAAGAACATTTGGTCATTTTCCTAAGATATGTATGAATATATTGTTTAACCTTGTGTGTGTGAATATATACTACCATAATTCAAAGAAAAGAAAAGGATGAAGAGAAAGGGAATGTGATTATGCTAACGTAAAGTGGAAATGCCATTTTATGGCTTTCAATTGAAATTTCTCTCCCTTAACTTAAACAACAAGCTCTCTCTAACAAATCTAAAATATGCTCCGACTTTTCTTACAATTAATTTTATCATCTTTATTCTAGTCGTTATTTTGTACAATCAGACACTTTTTCATGTTTATTTCGCTTGCTTATAATCAATTTATCATCATCATTGTAGTCTTTATTTTGTACAAACTAGTTTGGTCACATTTCGGTCTTTATTTTGTACAAAGTAGTCTTTATTTCATCTACTCATCCACTCCACTTGCCGGATGTTGCTGTCCAGAGGAGACAAGCCTCCGTTGCCAAAGAAAGGCCTTGGTCTCTTTTTCATAGCAGCAGCAGCAGCCTGTGCACTCAAACCCGCTGGAGAAACCGGGCTGCCATTTGAGGTCAAGCAGCTGTCAGTAGAGCAATCGCCAATCTGGGCAGGGATGCTGGAAGATTTTTTGTTCTCCAGAGTTGCAGCTACTTCAGACAATGAAGGCATTTTTAGGGTCCCAACAGCTGCCATACTATTATAATTGTTTGAAACCTTGATAGCCAACTCGGGTAGCTCTTCCCTTGCAGCTTCAAGCCCAGCAGAGGCCGCAGCCTGGTCAATGAGAACTTTACATGCTTTCTCAAGAATTGACTCCAGATATTTGCCTTGAGCTTCAATGCGAAGTTGGAGACCGCGTTGAACCTGGTTACAATTGAACCATAACAATAAGCTTCTTTAAATCATAAAATTAGTATCAAATTGAAAAGTTAGTTATACATGCCAAAAAGTGGTTTTCAGACTAAGGTTGCATTTGGCTTGGCTTGTTTTTTCTATAATTATATATAGAACTCTTACTTTTCTCTTTTTATTAAAAGGTTGCATCAAGACAAGTATCAAAGTTGAACACTCTTATGTTACATAAAAAAGCACCATTTCACCATATATAGGAAATAATAGAAGAATAAGAAAAACATATGAATACTTATAGTGTCCCCCTGTATCATTTAGCTTGGAGATTTGAGAAACCTGAGACTTAAGACATATATAATCACCCAACACACAAGTTCACAAGTCCCTACAACATGGATTAAAAAAAAGGACACAATATTATCTTTTTTAGCAAATGACACAAACAAATGAAACAAACCTCCAGCTGTTCATGTAGTCTTCGCTAAACTTCCATCTGTACTCGCAAAAACTCAGTAACTTGGTACCCACTGTTTAAAAGATGAATAAGCTAACAACCAGGCAAGGAGAAACAACAAGCTTTGGTGGTAAAAAAGAAAAACAAAAATGCTTAACACGAAAAAAATAAGCCTACTAATCAATAAGAAAAGGAACTAACAGAAAAAACTTATGAAATGACATCAGGTGAGACCCACAAGAATATATCTATTAGTTCTTTGCCTTTCACGTTGTTTATTCTGCCTAGTTTATTGGCTTGAATACCATTATTCAAGGAAAAGATGGAACATACTCATTTAAATCTTGTGAGGTCATTTGTGATGACGATGATGTAGATAAAGCAGTGTTCTGAATCTCTCCAATGCATGATGCTGCAAATCAAAACTACATATTAGTATATTACTAATGAATCCAAGAGAATCTCAACTTCTGTTATTCATCACACTGAGAACAACCACCATTTTCACCCTTTAGTGTAGCAGATATTATTTGTTTCCACCCTGTACGTGACACACCCCCCAAAACCGATTTAGGTTGGGGTGTCTGGCACATGAAATATATATATATATATATATATATATATATATATATATATATATATATATATTTGCAAGAGAAACAAATTCTCAAAATATTTGCAGAGCAAAAAATAGGAAAATGCAATGGTTGTGGTGACAGATTAGAACAAGTGTACTCCAAGGGGAAGAAGAAGAAATGCTATAAATATCCAAGCCCCCTTGATGAAACTTCTACATTCAGAAAACCAAGGACACATTTGCAAAACAACTAATGGTGCAGCCAGCGATTTTTTTTTTTTTTTTTTTTCTTATTTTTGGATGGAAAAGTTCCTTTCATGGATTGTACATAACTGTATTGGAAACAGTGAAGTCTCACAAGTTGAATTCCTTTGATATGCACACAAGACTTTTAATTTAAAACTTTCAATAAATATCCAGCAAATATAGATTATAACTGCTTATCTTTTGGATACCGTTATTGTTTAAGTAGGTATAACAGACTTTAGTAAGCCATTTAACTTCCGACTGAGAATACAAGTTAGTACACACATAAATATGGCAGTAAATTACTCACATAAGTTCTATTCACTCAAGAAGATGGTAGTAGGATTTCCTGGGGATGGTGGATTTTGCCTGAGCAATGATACATGGGACCCAGCACTATGAACTGCTTCAGGATCTGTTGCAGACAAAATTTCGATCCGCTCAAGACCTAGCTGCCGCTTGATCAACTCCAAATTTTCCTCGAGAACAGCAATCTCACCAAAAGGTAGCTTCAGATCCAATGCCTGAACTCCAACAGCAAGAACCTCATCCTTCTTAAACCTCAAGAAAGGCATACAAAGCTTTTGGATCTGCTTGAAATTGCCTTCCTGCACGATTGCACTTTGCTGCAACCCTTCAAGGATCTCCTTGTCCGGTGCAAAACTAGAAGTTGTGGGGTCAAACTTACTAAGGAGTATGTTCAAGCATTCTTTTTTCCATCCATCATATTGCTCATTCACAAATATTAGGCCAATCGTTGGTTTGTTACCTTTCTTTGAACCAGAAACTTGTTTCTGAAGCAACTTCCTCATTGAGACAATTGAGTCTTGCAAATATTTGTTGGCTCTTTTAAGAGTAAGATCGGGCAAATCAGCTTCAGGCCAGCCTGCTTTGATGACAAACCCATCCTCCTTCAAAAGCTCCCTCCAAACATATTCAGCATAATGAGGGCAAATTGGAGTTATAAGCCTTGTTTGAACATCCATAAACCGCCACAGGAGTTGGCGATTCATGCCCCCCGAGCCACAAGAAAACCTATACTCATCCCGAGCAGCCTGAAGATCATAGAACCCTGTTTTGAGAGCTTCCCGAAACATGAAATCATTGTAGTTCTTATCCGTCATTTTAACAGCAATATCCATCTCATTAGCAAATACACGGTCTTCATAGGTAGAAGGAGGACCATTTCTTAAAGATGACTCAGCAGCAAGAACCTCCTGCATCCATGATATCTCTTTTGTAAGACGTAAGATTGCAGCATTAGCTGTATCAAAGACAAAGTTTGCATCATCCATCCCATCCCCTGCATCAGCAAGGGAGAACCTTGTAGCATCAGCAGAGAACTCCTCAATAGCTTGGCGTATTGTCCTGAAATTCCCCGTGGACTTGGACATCTTCTCCGAATTCAGCATAATGTGCCCATTGCATCTGAACCCTCTAGGCCAGTGGCGCTTGCGTAGAAGTGCAGTGTGGTTATAAATGCAGAAAGTGAGATGATTCTGAATAAGATCCTTCCCGGAAGTTCGGAGATCAAATGGATACCAATATTCAAACTCCTGCTTCATCTTATTAAGAAGGGAAGAAGATATATCCGATGAATTGGGGTATGGTCCACCACAGAACAAGAAATCCCAAACCTCATCTGTCAGTTGCTCTGGTTTTACCGAAGAAGTATCAGAGCCATACATATCACCTCTCTGCAACAGATGAGAGACAGTATAATATGCCATGTAAAGAGTTGAATCAGATAAAGACTCCACAACGAACTGCTCGTCCCAAGGAATGCGGGTCCCAAGTCCAAAATTACGAGAACAAGCCCACTGATTTAACCAGCCAAGTGTGTTCTCAAATCCATGCCGTGTCTCATCACAGTACAGATTCATGCCGGCCAAACACTCCTCGGCATCCTTCTTCCATCTTGGTTCCCCATAAGTGATGTACCACTGATCAGTCAGAGCCACCACACACTCATCTCCTGATCTCGACATGACCTTCTTCTCAGGCTCACTATAAATAACAGCTTGACCAAGATCAAGAAGCTTGGTCTTGATTAAATTCTTGGCTTCCTGGACTTTCATTCCTGCATATTCTCCAACAAGCATAACTCCCTCATAGAACCCTCCCTTGTAGACTATTTTCTTAGCTTCCTCAAGCTTCTCTCTTTCATTCTGGCTCTTAATCTTCATTTCTGTGCAAATTTTCTCAGCTGCCTTATCTCCATACTCTGGAGTGTTGATGATTGGTATGATCTCAAACGGCAAGACCCACTCATCCTTTATACCAAACTTGGCCCTGAAAGCTGGTTTTGATTTCAAATCATGAAGGGCCATGAAATCATCAGGGGAATCACTGGGAACACTAGTCACAATCCCAGTACCCTTATCAGTGAGAACTGACAGCATAGGTAGAGCGTATATAATCTCATTGAATGCTAAAGGAGATTTCAAAGGTAAACCAATGAGATCGCGGCCAGTCAGCTCAGCCAAACAAGTTGGCTTCTCTGGGACTCTGGACAGCTTCTGATATGCAAGATTAAGCGCTGCCCTCTCCGTCAAGATAAATACGTCTGTTTCATTTATTTCAAATGCTTTATATTTCCCGTCGGGCAACACCCACGCATTGGTTTGCCCAAACATCGTTTCCGGTCGTAAAGTCGCAGCTGCAAGATACACTTTTTTGCCTTCCAGATCTTGAAACTTTGGGGGAAAAGGTGGGACGAGCTCCATTTTTATCAGTGTGTACTCTTGAGGATTGATACCTTCGCCTGAAGCCCGATCATGATCAGCACATGGCTGGCCATCTAAGGGTGAGTATACAGTGTACCTCAAGTCCTTGACAATTTTTCCCATTGCTTTCAATTTTCTCATTTGCCACTTAACGAATGAGTCAAAAAATGGATTCATGTCAGTAGTGATGAAGGAACGTCTCCAATCACAGCCTAAGCCGAATGCCTTAAGGTCTTCAACAGCCAAAGGGGGAAAATATGTCAGCCAACAATATGGGTCCTGGAACTTTGCAATCTCATCATCAGAGAGGCCAAAACTCCGCATAATCTCCCACTGGTATTTATCGCCACCAGATTTTGATACAGCTTTAAACTTTTTCCCTTTAAAATTTCCAGGTATTACCTGGCTTCCTCCACTTGCTTCAACTGATTCTGGTTCCATGGAAGGAAAAATGGGTGGATTACCAAACATTTGGCTTTCTCTTTTAAGTTTATCAGCTGAGGCCTTGATGGGCATTCCGGTACAGTGGAAACCAAAAGGCAAAAGCACATTGGCACCCCTTAATCTGTGATAAGCTGCACCAAATTCAAGCTTGGATAGTGAGAATGCATGACCAAGGTGAAGGTAACCATTCATGTAAGGAAAAGGGAAGTTCCCAAAGAACTTCTCCCCCGGTTTAGGAGGTGCTTCTCGGGATTCAGCCCTGAAGACATCTCTTTCTTCCCACCATTTTTTAACCCGGGCCTCGATGTCCAAAAGTAGATCTCTCCTAGCAAAGCTCTTCCCACTCTCGGTGCTTAATGCCATATACTCGGTAGCAAATTGACAGAATCTGCAGGAAAGATGGGAGGAGGATTAACGTGGGACACACACACATATAAATCTATACTATTTAGTGTAAAGAGTTTCAATATTTCGTTATTTATTTATTAATATAAATAAATATTTAAAAGAGTATCTATAAAATTCTAACACAAATTATCTATTTATTATGAGTTTTTAATAAAAAGAAATCTAATTAGCCAATATTTAAAGAAAATAAAATAATTTCTATAAAACTCTACCACAAATTACCTATTTTATTTTCTATAAAACTCTATCACATATCACATATAAAGATATTTATTAATTAATATAAAATAGAGTTTTTATTTTCAATGTTTTTTTAGTTCGGGTTGGGCTTTATTTTGAATTGAATTTGTTGTTGAAAATTTTTTATATGTTGATTTTTTTTTTTAATTTTTATTATTTTTTTGAGTCTTGTCGGTATGTAAAAATTTTGAATTTTTTTCAATTTTTTATTTTTTATTTTTGGTGCATTATTAAATATAAAGATATTTATTAATAAATAAAAAAATAGTTTTTATAAGTTTTTCTATAAAACTTAATACAAATTACCTATTTATTATGCATTTTTATTTTTTAATTAATAAAAGATGTTATAAGAGTTTCGATAAAACTCAAACCACGTATTTATTATGAGTTATTTAATAAAAAGAAACCTAATTAGACAAGGAAATATATAAAGACATTAAATAATTTAGTTTCTCTAATTAGACAAGGAAATATATAAAAAGTTAATAATGAATTCCTATTAAAAGTTTAATAATTGAATTCCTATTAAAAAAAATTAATAAGATTCTTAATAAATTATTCTCATAATTTAGTACATAATCAAATTATAGGTTTTATATAAAAATAAATAATAAATAATAAATAATAAAGAGTTTCTATTACATAAAAGAGATAAAAGTGTAAAGACTTTCAGTATTGGAAAACTACACATAAGTAGTTAGTCAATTTTAAAACTTTATTTTTCACTTTGGTTGAATTAAACAAAATAATTACATATGCATAGAGAATCATTGTTAATTTTTCACTTTATACAAATTTTTATTTTATTTTATATCCATACATTTGTTTTAACTTTTCAAAAAAAAAAAAAAAAACAACAAAAGTAATGAGCATCAGAAAGAAATATAGTATTTAAACATAGTATCAAAACATTATATACAATGAGGCACAAAGTTAAAGAAATTTCAATTTTCACAATTAAAGAAATTTTTATTATGAGTTTTTAATAAAAGAAAACCTAATTAGACAAGGAAATATATACATAAAATAAATAATTTAGTTTCTCTAATTAGGCAAGGAAATATATAAAAAATTTAATAATGAATTCCTATTAAAAAGTTTAATAATTGAATTCATATTAAAAAGTTTAATTAATAATTAATGTTTTTATCTCTTTAAAATTCTAACACAAATTACCTATTTATTATTAGTTTTTATTTTTAAATTAATATAAGGTGTTTATAAGAATTTATATAAAACTCAAATCACCTATTTATTATGAATTTTTTAATAAAAGGAAACCAAATTAGGCAAGCAAATATATAAAGAAAATAAATAATTTACTTTATCTAATTAGACAAGGAAATATATAAAAAGTTTAATAATGAATTCCTATTAAAGTTTAATAGGATTCTTTATAAATTATTCCCATAATTTAATACATAACCAATTTATACATTTTAAATAAAAATAAAAAAATAAATAATAAATAATAAAGATTTTCTATTACATAAAAGAGATAGAAGGGTTAGGGTAGGATCCTAATTATATTATTTTACTATAAAATTGCATAGTATTTAAAAAAAAAAAAAAAAAAAACTTGGAAAGAGAGAAAAATTAAAAAGAAATGATTTCTATCACATAAAAGAGAGAGAGGTTTAGAATAAGATTTCAAAAAATAATAATAATAATAATAATAATAATTAATAAATAGAGAATAAAGAGTTTCTATTACATAAAAAGAGATAGAAGGGTTAGGCTAGGAATCTAATTATATTATTTTATTATAAATTTCAACTCTTTCCAGGGTTAGACTAGGATTCTAATTATATTATTTTATTATAAATTTGCATAGTTAAAAAAAAAAAAAAACTAGAGAGTTTGGTACATATATATATACTATTATTAAAAGTACATGGGTGTTCGAGAATTTCAAATCATTAATTTATAATTAATTTTATAAAATAATTTAAATAAAAATATCAATAAGCAAAGTCTAACTAAAAAAAATTTATACTATTACTTTATAAAGATACCTAATTATAATGAGTTACGAGAATTCCTTCAACGGAAACTTCTAATTTCATTCTCTAAAAGTTTCCTACTAATTTCGTGTTTCCTACCAATTTTCTTCTCTAATATAATTTACTTTTCTAAGAACCTATTTCTTCCTCTATTATAATTTCTATATGAATTAAATAATATAACTAATCATGCCAATCTCAAATATTAGGTATCTCTCAAATTTTATTTTCTCGTTGATTTTTCCATTCACCAAGGAATTAGTATAAACTTACTTTAGTGGGTTTAAATTATCACCACCAATATCACTCCATTGTAAAACTTATAGGCTTTGTTTGGGTTGATTCTAATCAACGAGAAAAGAAAAGAAATAGAAAATTTTAAAACTTTTTTATAGTTTGGTTAGATAGAAAATGAAAAGTTCTAGAAAATTAGGATTCTTGTAACCCTTTATTTTTTCCAAAATGTTTCCTTCGAAAAACATTTTCTAGAACTTTTCCTTTTCTATTTAACCCGACTATAAAAGAGTTTTAAAATTTTCTATTTCCTTTCTTTTCCCGTCGATTCTATCCAACCAAACGAAGCCTTGGGGAAATTTATTTTCCCGTGAAAGCATGCCTTTTTATTTAGTATTCCTATTTTACCCAACAACTTCATTGATATTATTTTAATCAACAACTTCATTTTATATTTGGAAACAACAATAATATTTTACTAGGTTTCAAAGAATTGGAGTCCACTAACAACTTTATCATTGATAAATTTTTAATTAACTTGACTTCTTTTCCTAGTTAATTTTCATCATATATGTTAATAGTAATTCAAGATGTCTAATTTAATTGAAAACTTTATCATTTTTTTTATATATTTTATTACTAATTTTTATTATTTTATAAAAGAAGGATAATTTAGATATCCAAACTATAATATGATATTTGCTACAATTTTCTTGAAGAAATTTTTATCGTAACCAAATGCATACTAGAAAATCATTCTTTTTTTCATTCACTTCACTTTTCTTTTCATTTTTCATTTCTTTTCATTTCTTGCTATTTCCATCTGACCAAACCGAGCCATATTGTGATAAAAAGTCCATTAGAGCTACCTTGTCCAAGCAAAAAAATAAAAAATCTATTAAAGCTTCACACCCAAAGTCAAAAAAGTAGTTAGAACTATTTTATACACTTAGTTACTTAATAAGTTTTACTTTTTATCTTTACTATTTTATGTTGTTGACCTATTATGATTTACAATTATGACTAATGATTTAAAATTATGAATTTTAATATTTATCAAAAATTAGTATTTAGATCATAATTAATAATTATTTAAGTAAAATCTTGTAACTCCTTAAATTTTAATCTTTACTCTTAGATTACTATTTGTTGCTCCTGATTCATTCATATGCAAAAAAACAATCCATTTCATTTCATTAATATTTAAAATTGTAATTACTCAAACAAGTTGCTAATTAATTATTTAAAAATAAAATTTATTTTGATAATTCTCTATAATTTTTTATTAAAATTATAAAATAACTCACATATATATATATATATATACACTTACAAGATATAACTACCTGAAGAAAACCCAATATTTAATTTCTCGTTTTCAATTGCCCTTTATCAAAAACCAAATAAAACATATCACAGAGCACATGAATAAAATCTAACAACGCCAAAATAATTAAAAGGAAAAAATATGTGCTTTATATTCATTCAGTTCTGTCTGCTCGGATGTAATTATATTAATTAACACCGCAAAGAGGAAACCGACTCAAAAGATTAGAGGATGGATTAACCATAGAAATAATCGCACAATATAACAGAAATAGAATATAACAAATAAAGAATTGATGGTAACATATGAATTGAATGTTACAAACAAAATTGAAAAAAACCAACAATTATTAATCAATGAATCAATGGTTGTTGTTACCTCAGATGAGGATACTTGGGGTGTTGTGATCTGAACAGGAGGATGTCCCTCGGAATAATCTCAAACTGCTGTAGCACTAATCCAACTTTAGTTGTTCAATATGTTCTCTATATATGTATATGAACATGAATATATACATACATAGATACCCAAAAATGTGAAAGAGAGTGAAACTAGACATCCTGTGAGGGAGATGAGAAAAGAAACGAAGAGAGAGAGAGAGAGAGAGAGAGAGAGAGAGAGAGAGGCACCTCTGGTTGCAGAGCAGACGGACACTGCGGTTTTGGTTTGGATACGTTATATATATATATATATATATATATAGGGAAAAGTGCAGAACGCATAGCCATCAGAACACTTTTATCCCTATTTAAAAACGCTTGCAAAAAAATATTCCTAATTTTTTTATATTATATAAAATTATCTTCTCTCATATAAATTATTGTTATAATATTCCTTTTATTTTTTTACTTTTTCAAAAATACCCGCAGATATATATACTACTAATTTCATAATATAAAGGTGTTATGTGCACATTATCTTATATATATATAAATTTTTTTCCCTATATATATCTCTAAACATATATTTTAAAAAACTTTGAGAATTTATAAAATAAATATTTAAATTTTATTAAATTTCAGTTTACTCTTTTCTACTAATTTTTATTTTATTTTATTTTTTTCATACCAACATTGTTAAACAAAAATAATAATAATTTCAATATTAGTGTGTACTAGTTTTTGGAGTTTGAAATTTTTTTGTTTTCTTTAGTTTGCATTTTATTTTTGTTTGTTATTTTCTATTTTTATCTCTACTTTTATTTTTTTTTTAATTTTTATCTTTACTTGTCCATTATCGGAGTCCTCCAATAGTGTTATTTTCGATCATTTTATAAAATTATTTATTTTTATATATTTTATAAAATGATTTAATAAGGGTAATTTAGTTAACTTAGGGTTTAAATTTGTCAGAGAGGCCTATTTGCATTCGATTGAAGCTTTATAATTGTTTTGTGCACTAGAGGGGCATTCTCCAATAGTGTCATTTTCGGTCATTTTATAAAATTATTTATTTTTATATATTTTATAAAATGGTTCAGTAAGGGTAATTTAGTTAACTAAATGTTTAAATTTATCAGAGGGACCTATTTGCACCAAATTAAAATTTTAGAGTTATTTTTTTGCATGTGAGGGTGTGATATGCACTCTAAACATACTTTAGGAATACTTTCTGCACTTGACCCTATATGTATATAATAGTATATATTTTTCTTGGAGTATACTACTAACCTAAATAGGTTTTTTTTTCTTCTCAAATTACATAATTATCCTTTCAAATCTTTTGCACTCTATTTGATAAGATCTAAAAAAAATCTCTTTTAATATGATCCCCAAAAAAATATTTATCTCTCAATAATTTTTTTTTTTTTTTTTTTTTTTACATGGCCCAAAGTTATTTTATTTTATTTTTATTTTTATTAAATAAATTAATTCTTTTGATAGGTTCCAAAAATATATATAGTAGGCAAAAAAAAAATTGAATAAATTATTTCTATTGGCAACACTCTAAATAAAATTTAAAAAGTTATCTATGTGGAATAAATATATTCTTTTGAAAGGACCTACAAAAATATATAAGAAAAAAAAATTTATTTCTCTGGAATAAATAATCTCTTTTGATATGCCCAATATATATATATATATATATATATATATATATATATATATATATAGTATATACTTATATCTTTTGACATGAAAATAAAAAATTAAAAAATATTAAAGGGAAGTATAGGACTTAATAAAAGTTAAAGTTTGTATGTCACTCTCTATAAAAAAAAATAGTTCCATATTTAAATAAAATTAGGAAAGTGATAAATAAAGAAATCAGGGAGGGTGACTGAATTTATTTTCAAAAAAAATTATTGTCCTTATTTATCACTTTCCTGATTTTGTAATCGCAAACTATTTGTGTGTGCTTGGACCACATCAACTATGAGTAGAGGTAACCTATTCACCGGTGAGTATACAAGTCTTCTAAAAAAAAAAAAAAAGATGGAGTATTAATAGGTTTAGGGAAATTATTGTCGTTTCATGTAAAAGAAATAGACAAATAGAGTGCTAAGTCACACAATACTTCTCTTCAATGGTGCTCCCGCTCTCACTCTCTGCGCACGCTCTTATTCATTTTTTCACTATTCGTGACTTAATTTTATCGCTCTCGCTTTCGAATTTGCTATCGCTCGTTCTTTATGTAGCTTAGATGGAGTGTAGTTGTAGAATAGGAAATGACTAATATCACCTTCCATTTTTTTATTTTTAATTTTTAATTTTTTTTGTTGTCTTTTTCTATCTTTTAATAGTTATAAGATCTATTATTAAAGCCCACAATTTTTTTATTATTATTATTACTTTTTATCTTGTGACATGCAATCAAGTAAAGTTCTTCTTTTGTTTTTCTCTTCTTTCTTTTTTTTTTAGATAAATAAATAAAAACTTGTGATATGCAATCTAGTATGGTCATGATAGTTATTAAAATGAACATCCTAGCTCAGTCATATGAACTGTGCCAGAACAATTTATATCAATATAATGAATAATACAATAACAAACAAAGAAACATAGAGTTGGGCAGTGTGAATCTTTTCATGTGTTTTTCGCATCAAAGAAGAACATTTGGTCATTTCCGAAGATATGTATGGATATATTGTTTTTCCTTGTGTTGGAGTGAATATATACTAGCATAATTTAAAGAAAAGAAAAGGATGAAGTGAAAGTAAATGTGTACAACAATATCATGAATTATACAGTAACCAACAACGGAACATATTACTACTACTGCACCCAACCCAAGTGATTTTTAGGGTTTGGATGTGTTTTTATACTCCTGATTTTTTTTTTGTCTTTCACTAACTGCTATAAGATCTAGTATTAAAGGCCACATTTATTTATTTATTATTATTATTATTTTTATCTTGTGACATGCAATCTAGTAATTATTTTTAATCTTGTGTTGATTATTCAATAACCAAGAAAGAAACAAGACTAGTTGGGACTTGATATTTGGTTTGTTTGGAATTCTTTGGGTCATGCCTCTATCCTCAGAGGGTGTTCTGTGGGGGCTCATATTCAGGATGCTTGGAGGTTACGTTTCTTTGTGTGTTGTGGTGTATTTGGTTCGAGATGAATAAGAGATATTTTGATGAAAAGAGATGTCTATTTATATTCTAAAATTCTCTGTTGTTTTCACTCTTTTTTGTTGGGTTTCAAGAAGATATTATAAATCTTTAGAAGACATTGTCGATTTTTTTTGGCCTCTTTAAAGGTTTAGAGGCTATTTTTGACCTTATGTAGTTCTCTTGGGATGCGTTCCACTTTTGAGTACTTTTTATACATTTCTTACTTATCCAAAAAAAAAAAAAAAAACAAGACAAGACTTGGGCTGTGAATCTTTCATGGGTTTGTGGCATCAGAGAAGAACATTTGGTCATTTTCCTAAGATATGTATGAATATATTGTTTAACCTTTTGTGTGTGAATATATACGAGCATAATTCAAAGAAAAGAGAAGGATAAAGGGAAGGGAATGTGATTCTGCTACAGTAAAGTGGAAATGCCATTTTATGGCTTTCAATTGAAATTTATCTCTCATAACTTAAACAACAAGCTCTCTAACAAATTTAAAATATGCTCGGACTTTGCTTACAATTAATTTTATCATCTTAATTTTAATATTTATTTTGTACAAACGAGTCAGACACTTTTTCAAGTTTATTTCGCATGCTTATAATCAATTTATCATCATCATCATTATAGTCTTTATTTTGTACAAACTAGTTGGTCACATTTCGATCTTTATTCCATCTTTATAGTTTTTATTTGTACAAATTAATTTTTATTCCATCATTATGGTCAAACTAGTTGGTCACATTTCAGCCTTTATTCCGTACGAACTTGTGAGGCACATTTCGGCTTTTATTCCATACAAACCAGTGAGCTGCATGAATCTCTTTCTCCAAATAATCTCTTTCCCAAAAAAAAATTCAAGTGCATATACAGTTGAGTAAAAATTCAAGTGCATATACATTTACTTATTAGTAGTTAAAAATGACAAGCTATAATGCATAAAGAATAACCTTCAAAAAGTAATTGAAGGTAGACATTTGAAAAGAAGACAAGTATGAAGAAACATATAGAGAGAATTCAGAAAGTTAATTTGGTTTGAATTCAACCTTACTGTTAAATTGAGTTCATTCCTCATCATTGTCAATCAAATAATTATTAGACTACTAAAAAAAACAAAATGATATTTTTTATTCAGCGTTTCAATTTTTAGTTCTCTAAACACAACTTGACAACTGTTTTGACAGAACTGAACCAGAGAAACTTGATATTTGCTGATGGCATAATGCAAAATTTAACTTTCCAAAAGCAAAACTGACAAGGTATTCCAAATTCACATAATCTGCTTTGAGAATATACAAAATAGAAAATGATAAATAAAGAGAGGGAAAATCAACAGTTCAATTTTAGACAGAAACGTCCATCTTCATCTACTCATCCAATGTTAGTCATCATCCACTCCATTTGCCGGATGTTGCTGTCCAGAGGAGAAAAGTCTCCGTTACCAAAGAAAGGCCTCGGCCTCTTTTTCATAGCAGCAGCAGCCTGTGCACTCACACCCGTTGGAGAAACCGGGCTTCCATTTGAGGTCAAGCAGCTGTCAACAGAGCAATCACCAATCCGGGCAGGGATGCTGTTCTCCAGAGTTGCAGCTACTTCAGACAATGAAGGCATTTTCAGGGTCCCAACGGCTGCCATACAATTGTTTGAAACCTTAATAGCCAACTCGGATAGCTCTTCCCTTGCAGCTTCAAGCCCAGCAGAGGCCGCAGCCTGGTCATCGAGAACTTTACATGCTTTCTCAAGAATTGACTCCAGATATTTGCCTTGAGCTTCAATGCGAAGTTGGAGATGGCGCTGAACCTGGTTACAATTGAACCATAACAATAAGCTTCTTTAAATCATAAAATTAGTATCAAATTGAGAAGTTGGTTATAACATGCCAAAAGGTGGGTCTCAGATTAAGGTTGCATTTGGCTTGGCTTCGCTAATGACAGGAAACAAAGCAAATTCATTTGCAGCATTCTTCTATACTTATATATAGAAGTCAACACACAAGTTCACAAGTCCCTACTACATGGATTAAAAAAAAATGACACAATATTGTATTTTTTTAGCAAACAACACAAACAAATGAAACAAACCTCCAGCTGTTCATGTAGTCTTCGCTGAACTTCCATCTGTACTCGCAAAGCCTCAGTAACCTGGTACCCACTGTTTAAAAGATGAATAAGCTAACAACCAGGCAAGGAGAAAGAACAAGCTTGGTGGTAAAAAAGAAAAGCAAAAATGCTTAACACGAAAAAAATAAGCCGACTAATCAATAAGAAAAGGAAATAACAGAAAAAACTTATGACATGACATCACGTGAGACCCACAAGAATATATCTATTAGTTCTTTGCCTTTCACGTCGTTTATTCTGCCTAGTTTATTGGCTAGAATACCATTATTCAAGGAAAAGATAGAACATACTCATTTAAATCTTGTGAGGTCATTTGTGATGACGATGATGTAGATAAAGCAGTGTTCTGAATCTCTCCAATGCAAGATGCTGCAAATCAAAACTACATATTAGTATATTACTAATGAATTCAAGAGAATCTCAACTGCTGTTATTCGTCACACTGAGAACAACCACCATTTTCCTCCTTTAGTGTAGCGGATATTATTTTGTTTCCTTTTGTTTTGTCCTACCATTTCCACCCTGTATGTGACACACACCCCAAAACCGATTTAGGTTGCGGTGTCTGGCACATCAACCTGGTGGAAAAAAAAAAAAAAAAAAGGAAAATGCATTGGTCGTGATGGCAGATTAGAACAGTGTACTCCAAGGAGAAAAAGAAGAAATGCTATAAATATCCAAGCCGCCTTGATGAAACTTATACATTCAGAAAACCAAGGACGCATTTGCACAACAACTACTGGTGCAGCGAGCCAAAATTGTTTTGCCCAGAGTGTTCTTATTTTTAGATGGAAAAGTTCCTTTCATGGGCTGTACATAAATGTATGTTATCAGGTAATTCTGCTACTGTGTCCTTTCTTTTGATTTAACGATTGTGATTGCATTCAACATATAAATATGTAACAGGTGCAAAACTAAGTACCCTGTATCTATAGTGGAAGGTGCAAACACGCTATATAGAGAGATCAAGGTTAATACCGTCTTTAGAGTTGTCTATTAACTCCTTGCAAGATTGCTTTCCCAACCGATATTTCTGCAAGGATGAGACTCAAATACAGGCAGTGTCATGTATGTGGATATAGTAAACAAATTCTTCACAAAGCAATTTGATAAGGATGGGAACGTCAATGAAACGAAAATGAAATACAGTAGTATCGTTGGAATTGGTATAACTTCTGTTCTTTTTTACCTTTTTTTTGTGTGTTTGGGAGGGGGAATCAATATAGTTCCCAAACAATGTTAAAAACTTAAAATGATAATCCTGAAAAATAAACTTCGGAAACAACAAACCTGAAGATGTGACTTCAAATGATAAAGAGTGAGGCCTTTTACCCCCATTGTTCTCATAATTGTCTTAGGTGTTGCTTCTGCAATAAATAAAATAAAATAAAAGACAATTAGCTTATTAATCAATCAAGAATGTTCAAACCTATCATTCATAAGATGTAAATTGTTGCCATCGAAAACAGAGTTTTCAGCCAAAGACAAGTGAACTCTGGTAAATAAGGCATGAGCATAAGCATGCTACTGCTAGCTGTGTATTTAAACTGTAAAAATAGGGGTACACCTGGGGGGTCCTGGATTCAGTTCAAGCCAGTATGCAAGCAATCCAGAAAACATGTAAATGGTTAAGTAACAAAAATGTAAATATTTGCGAGTGTGAAAGGGCTGCCCCCATCACTGTGATTCTTATCTTTCTTCAATTCATGTAACAGGTAAGTAATTATAATCCTAAATTATACTCGTAATAGATGTAACTCAAATGAATTTTTTTAATTATTATATTTGTAGAAAATAAATTACGTATTTATGGAATGAATTATTACTTGGATATGGGACCACAAATCAATAAATAAATATATTTCTTTCTATTTGGATCTGAACTTGAACTGTGGGAATCCCACCTAGCGGAGTCGGCATTTCCTCTATCAGTAGCACTATTCTGGTACAAAGGACTAAACTGAGAATTATACATACGTAAGAAGGTAATTCACTGATAAATCCTCCTTGAGGTCAGGAATAGAGGTGGTGGATTCCGTTGCGCACCTTTTATCCTATCGAGAGACATGGCTCAAAATCACTTTGCCAACGTACAATAAGTAGTCATTGGTAATAGTGTCCGATTGTTTATCCTTCCTTTGACTCTATTCATAAGTCAGAAAGGAATCTCCTCTACTGAAGTACCAAAGGCAACGAACGGGGCTCCCAACAACAGTATTAAGCAATAGCTATAGTAGGCTAGTAGCTTAATTGTATTATCAATTTTATAGAAGATATATATTATGACAATGTACAATAGGGAAGTTTCTTTTTGTAGATTTTATAGAACTAATAGCCAATTAAAAATAAATAAAAATCCTGGTTCTGCCCTGTGACTCTGTGAGTACACCATGCTGAGATGTGACCACTTATTTCATTTTTCCATCTTATGCAACACCCATCTTGTAAAATGTGCCATTTAACTTTCAATTTGCTGGACATTTTTCTTACTGCATCCCTTTCTTTTATTAGCAATTTGCGAAGTCACTTGATGCTATCAAGTTACTTGTATTTTTTTTGGGTACCAAAAAGGAAGAGAGTACAAGAAACACAATTAAATATAACAGATCGAAGATGAAATGGAGCTTAAAGGCAAGATTTTTCTACTAAAATATTGTGGAGACACTCCAACAACTGATTGCTTTAACTTTGTCAACTTGAGAGTTGAAATACAAAAAAACATAAGATAATCTGCTTGAAATGGCAGTCCTGACTCAAGAGATTAAATATCAATACTTCCATGAGTCCATCACATAACTTGATAACTTGCTCACATAGAAAAATTAAGCCATCTTTCAAGCTATCCTCATTTCATTTTTCTTCTTCTGACCCTAAGGGCCTAATGAAGCTCTAATTTTCCTTATTTATCAAGCAACCGGTTCTTGTTTACTATAGTATTTTTCCCATCTTTAATGTCTCTATATGCCTTGGGATGAGATGTTGTACTTCTCTCCAGTTCCTCCAACTTACCTCACTTTCCAGGTTTATTTACTTTTTATTTTGAGGAGGGAGAAGAGAGAAGTTTTCTTCCCTAATCACTCACTTCCTTCCTTTTCTCCCTTCATTGTGTGAACTTGCCCGCATAGGAAAGATTTCAAAAAGTTCCTGTGTGTTTAAGTTTTGTTGTCTTCCCTATTTCAAAGATTGCTTTGCATCAAAATTGGGGACCAAACCTCTTCTTCACCCAGTCCAAAAATTCCTGCTCTCCTAACTATACAACTGCGTGTCCCCTTTTGATCGACAAAACTTGTGTTCGTTATTCAATAAATGTGAAGATCATTAGAATTTAGTGTCGGCAAATTTTGTAATAGAAGTTGGGAGTATCTAATTTTTAATTTATTCTCAAAAAGTTGGTCTAGTCAGTTAGGGTTATGATATATACCCCGATCAATGGACTATGAAAAAACAAATGAAGATTGAAAGGGAAAAGGTACATTAATCTCTTGAATTACTAACTCACCAATTATGGTTCATGATATGCATTCTTATCGTCAATCATACCAGGGCACAGTGCATACATGCTTTGGTTTATAGAAAGGATGTTTCAAATACAAGAAATTGTTTTTAGATCAAATATATTTGAACATAAATTTTTACAAAAACAGTGTGCTTCTATTAATATATCTTGATTGATCGAAAATTTTCAAATTTTATGTTATTTTATCTAATTCCAGTATGCTTCCATCAAAAGCTCGATCACAAATGGACAATAGGTTTCAATTGAAAGCTTGATAAATGGATCGGTCTCAATTTTAATGGAAACCCACTCTAATCAGAACTCCAAAATATTTTATTTTCCCTTTTTGTTGATGACTCAAAAATTAATAATCACGAAAACACCCATAGGCTCTCAAACTTATACAGATCTCTTTACACATTATTGAGAAAGCATATAGAGAAATTATATATTCATATTTTGAAAGAGAGCATAATTGTTTCCTATCATCTAGCATGTTACATTAGATGGTGATTTATTATTTAGACCATCAAATTGTGAAGCAAAAAGCTTCATCAACACCAGAACACACAAACAAATAACAACTGGATGTTAACTAGTTATTGGAAAGCAAAGCACGGATTGGAGAGTGGAACGCATGAGGAACAAGTTTGTTAGCCTAGTTAATAGTTGTAAGAATTCTTCTCATTGGTGGGTTTGATCTGTCTAAACTAGGTTCCATAATTCTTACTAACATTAAAACCGTGTATTCTTGTGTGATTGCTTGATTATTTATTTTTTCTCCCAAGACTTTAACTGATTCATATTACTGAGTTTTAAATATAATTCCCCTTAGATTTCTGGGTAAACTTTGTATATGATGAAGTAGGAACAGAGTATATCTACACATGAACCAAGGGAAGCAAAATATACAAACAAAATAAAGGCTTGTATCAGTGCTTCTGTCACTCTGTTGTTAGGAACAGTAGATTATAGAGTTTCAAAAGCAAGGCTGTCTATTTTATTTTCAAGAAAAAAATTTATTCATTTATTACTCTCATGCAACGAAAAGGCACCAAAGTCACTATATCCACAACTAGACTGCAAGCCAAAAGTAAGTGAACTGCATGATTCCAAAATAGTTTGTCTTTTGGCTATTTTTTGTCTTGATGTAGCACACACAATCTAGAAACAAACTAATAATAATTCATCACCCCGAAAAAAGTACACCCTAGAAACATATGGGGAAAAATAGTTCATCAAAAATTACTCAAAGCATGGACTGAGAAGAATAATAGGGGTGAAATTGGGGAGAAAGAAACTAGGAAAAAAAAAAAAAAATTGGGAAGAAAGAATAGTCATACAACAATTCAAAAATCATGAAAGATATTTGTTAATACAATTATATTTATCATTAATGAAAAAACATAAAAGAAGGAATGATGGTCTATAATCTATATTCCACAATTATCCTTAAAAAAATGGCTAGCAGAGAGAAAAAGAGAGAATTTAGCCTAAATTTATTAGTACACATCCCAAGTAACCTCACTCATAGTAATGATGATGATGCATTGATGATGGGAAAAATACTAAAATGTGAAATGAATTTGATAATATTATTTGATAATTTCCGGGGAAAAAGAATTGATAATATTATTGTCCTATTTCCATATAATCAAACTTCAGCAAAAAGGAGCAATTACATCAAAACCACCAACCCCTTTTATTTTTATTTATTTTTTAAATGAAAACTATATACACATGCCCAATACTGTTATAAGAGCTCACACTATCCATTTATTATGCATCCTATTTAACACTAAGTAATATTTTTTGTATTATCTTAATCTAGGATAAAAATAAAAAAACATCAATAAAATCTTCTGAAATTGTGTATTACTTGAATTACCAAAATCCTTACAATATGAATTGAAAATTAGGATCAAAGAACTCGCATTGAAAATCTATTGACTTCCATTAATGGGAAGCTTTTTTTTTTTTTTTTTTTTTTTTTTTTTTTTCATGACGCTTGTGTATATAAAATAAATAAATAAAAGCGTTTTGTAGACAAATACATGTATGTCAATATGTGTGTATCTTCAGTTCAAATACTCCACAGTCATAAGAAAAAATCAAAATCGCAAAAAAGAAGGAAAGGATTCCAAGCAGCATAAATAATTTAGAGAGAGAAAGTTTAGAGAGAAGGGTGAATAATGAACACGCACTGTCAGGGCCACCGAGCTGAGTGACCGCATCCACAAATTTCTCATGGAGCTCCGCGGTCCACCGGAGCCGGGGCTTCGGATCCATGGTCATCATCAAGCACGAATCGCCCGGCACGTTCGACCCATCAAGGGACCCGTGGAACTCGCTGTGGCCGGAGCTACCATCTTGCGGAAGTGAACGAATCGTAGAGTACATTCCCTGAAAAATCACCGCCAAAATTTTCCTGAGAGAATGAGAGAAAATTTAAACGAATCGAATAACAGATGAAATGGGTTACCTGTATTTTCGGGGCTCGGAGCCCCGAGACTGTTCAGAAAGTTGGACGATATCAGTGGCTTGAAATGGTGGTGTTGATATATATGTATAGGAGGAAAGAGAGAGAAGACAGCGATGTCGTCGTACTCTGTCGAGTGTCTATTCCCTCTCTACACTATACACGCTCTCTCTCTCTCTAGTCTCAATGTACTGGCCCCCTCTCTCTCTCTCTCCACGGTATAATAGGAGGCAACGTGTTGTTTGGCTGGCATTTGATATTTTATCCTGTTTTTGTTGGTCAAAATGTTAGCCTGTGTGCACCCTCACGTTAATAAAATACAGTAGTTATTAAATATATATATATATATATATACACATATATATATTTATTTATTTATTTAGAATTTTATAGAAATATATACTACTTAGTACTGTATTGTATAAGAATAAAATTACGAAGTTCAATTTTGGAGAATAGTCTTTTTTAACTTTTTAAATGATTTTTCTTTCGAATTTCTTGAAATTTATTTATTGGTAAATGAACTCATTATCAGTGAGATATATAGCACTATAAAATACTCCTCGTACGTATGTTAGAGTTTTAAGTTTATAAATACTTTATTTTTAGTTTATTAAATGTTAATTATCCAAAAAAAAAAATTGCTAACTAGTGTGCTGTTTTATAGAAGCAAATTAGAGTGGCATGTAGTGTAATTGCTTTCAAGAACCCCCCTTAAAAGGAAGAACTAAGAAGGTTTTTTATATTTTTATTTTTATGACTCGTGACGTGTAAACTTTTTAGCAACTTTTTAGATTATAATTTATTTTCAAAAAATGCTTTTTAAAACTAAAAGGTTCTTTAGTTTATATTTTAAAGGTTTTATCATGGTCTTTAAAAAAATAATAATAATAATAATTGCATATATTTTGGAAAGACACTTTTTATTGGAAGCTTTTCTCCATAAACGCACCTCGTCAGAACCATACATTATACGCTTTATTTTCTTTTTAATTATAGGTGAGTAAAGCTAACTCACGCATTAATTCTTACTTTTAATGGTTTTTTTATAATTATTTCATAAAAAATTTATACACCTATTTATTCCGTACATGAAAAATTGAACTCTCACAATCTCCTTTAAAAAAATAAAAGAAATACCTCTAAGTTGGAGGTCCGCCAAGGCGACAATCATTAATAATAATAAAAAAATTGAACTAAAATAATAAATAGCAAAGCAATGGTTTTTTTTTTTAATTTTGATTCGTTAAAACTTTGTTGATGAGCGGAATAGAAAAGACTTTAGGTGCTTTTTCTTTTCTTTTTTTTTTCTTTTTTTTGAGATGGGCTCAAAAAGAAGGGATCCTTTTGAATTTTGGAAGCTTTTTTCTAAGGTCTTTTGTGATTTGTAAGGTGTTCAGTTGGGGGACAACTATAATTATTAAAAAAATTATATCAAACTATAATTAAATGAAAGTTTAGTGGGGACGGTTGGCCCCTGGTCCCAACGTAGCTCGGTCACTACTAACATTTCTAAGTTTCAAACTTAAAAATATTTCGAAATTAATGTTGTCTTTATAGTTTTTCTCTTCTAGCTGTTAATACTTCTCTATTTGTTTCCTCCACGCTCCAAAAGGAGGGAAAAGAAAGTCCCTAGCAATAGAATCACTTCAAAGTTCAAAGTGTGTGTGTGTGTGAGAGAGAGAGAGAGAGAGAGAGTTTAAAATGAGAGAAATGAAGTGAAGAAAGGCTTCATTAATAGATATGAGAAATGAGAATACAAGGGCAGCCATTGTGGACCTCAACATGAAGATGCAGTAGTAGTACTTCATGTGGTTGCCATTCGTATTCCAGGGCACAGGAAATGGCATATAGGACACACCTCAAGATGACCATACAGACAAAAGTGTCCTCCAACTTACCACTTTGTTGTGAGACCACCAATGGGGTCAATTGTGATTGTTGACATATATAACCTCTACTCTTTTCTTTTCTTTTTTGAAAATTCATGTGAATAATAATGGCACTTAATAGATGTAACTCTAGTTTGCATTGCCTTTTTATAGGTTGCTTGTCCTATCTAACCACCTAAAATGATGAAATAATAGGTCATGTTGCCTTTATACCAGTATTATATTACTAATGAAATGCTTAAGAACTAAAAACTTGGTTTTATCAATGGTCTGGAATCTCTAGATAGACATGTACATATACATACAGATACAAAAAATATACATGTATATATATATTATTATTAAGTGTACATAATCGAAGGTATAATTGTGCTTGTTAAACCCCTCCCTCCCCCTTTTTTTTTTCTTCTTTTTTTTTTTTTTTTTTTCGACAATGGTTAATAGTTAATTTGGGGAGGGGAGAATTGAACCGATGATCAATAGGGTGCCTGTTAACCTGGCTTTTCCAGTTATATCAAATATTTTCTTTAACAATTTAGTAAAAACTTATTTTTTTATTTTTTTTTAAGTGGTGGTAATATGTGTTAGGATGAACTTATTTGTACTAAATTGAATTTTTAGGGGGTATTTTCTATACATGAGATGTGTGATACGCACTGTAAATATTATAAAAGGTATTTTTTGTAAAAATATTTTCTATATATGAGAGGTGTGATACGCACTGTAAACTTATTTTAGTAAAAAATATTTTCTTTATATCAAATATATATATATATATATATATATATATATATATATATATATATATATATTTAAGTGGTGGTAATATGTGTTAGGAGGAACTTCTTTGTACTAAATTGAAATTTTAGGAGGTGTTTTCTATACATGAGAGGTGTGATACGCATTGTAAATATTATAAAAGGTATTTTTTGTACTTGACCCATATATTATTCATGAGCAATGACATGTTTTTATTATTATTATTATAATTATTATTTTCTTTTCTTTTTTTGGAATATGGATTTTTTTTTAATTAGTGTAACAGCGGTCTCTTTCTCTATCATGGTTCATGACATTAGAGATTCAAGAATTACCAACTAGAATGAAGGCAAGAAATAATAAATTCTTAAATGGTCTTAAACATACTTAATGAATCATTTCAATCTAAGATTATTCGACTAAAAAATGACTCCACACAAGAGTATATTAATTAATATATTATTAAAAAAATTCAATATTAATTTTTATTAGATTAAACTACCAAATGTCAAAGATCCAAAATTATTTAATAATTTCTCCAATTACAAAACATGTACAAATATTCATTTTTAAAATGAATTAAAACATCAACAAATGAAAGGTTTGGTTTTAAGTCAGGTCAATCCACCCAAAGGGACCAATTATAAACAACTCGAGCCCTAGCCACACCCACCATATGGTATAATGATTGAAGTCAACCTTTGGGGTTGGGGACACAAAGCCACAACAAATTAAATGCCAAAATCTAAACAACTAAATTCCAACACTCATAATCATTCATCAATTATAGGAATTAAATGTGACCATCATCTTTTTTAGTTTGACACAATCAATGGACTTTGGTGAGACCACGATTGAATGTACTCAGTTTATCTGATGGTGCATGGTAAGTTTTGTGTCTATTTTAGTCAACTTTTCTTTTATTGTTTTATTATTTTTATATTTATAAAAAAGAAAAAAAAAGCCAACCTATTTTAGTCAACTTGATTCCACAAATTTTATAATAATAAATTTTGAAGTCGGTTACATGAATACATTGTCTAAAGTTGTCTTTCTATCAATCCATCATATATGTCAAGAGTATATACCAAATCACGAAAATGGAAGAGCTTGTCTTCCTCAATCATATTCTTGATGTTCTGAAATCTTTTCATATAATGATTATAATTATCACATGGTACCTGCGTGTCTTAGCTACTCATGTGTATTTAAGACATGAAAAATAAAAAATAAAATATTCAATAACAATAAATTAAATCTTATTAGCTTGTTAGTAAATCATGTTGACACTTGACGGTAATATCGTATCCTTAGAAATTAATTTCTTTAATATATTTGAGTGTTTCGAATCAACATCTTAAAAATAGAATTGAAAGAATTTTAATTTTAAAATGCCTAGTTTAGTGCAAATTAACACAACATGATTACCAGGGAAAAAAAAAAGAGAAAGAAAGAAAAATGTATTTCTCGAAGTAAAAGAATCTTTTCTTTAAAAAAAAAAAAAAAAAAACTTCTGTATAATTGGTATATTTTTCCGGATTGAACAGCATTACTAAAAGAATAATAAAAAATAAAAACAAAACAAAACTATTGACAAAAAGAAAACTTGCACATGTTGGATAGGTGTACTTCTCAATAATGATTTGAAGGTGCATGCACTAGTTGCCTTATAATAATACAGCGTTCACATCTATTAGGGAATTTTTATATATTTTGTAATTTAACACAATTCATATAAAAATATAAATTAATTAGAAAAGAAAAAAAAGACATTTAGAGTTAGTATACAAAGCAAACACGAATAAAAAAGATACAAATAACAAGAAATACAACATCTACAATAATGAGATGAACTATACAGCAATGTTATATAAGTAATGTATGTTTTATATATATATATATATATAAATCAATTTAATTGTATACATGAAACAAACAAATAAGATAAAGTTATGAAACTAGCCTCTGGACATGTTAAATATTATCTTAAGTCGATAATTTTATCTTTATGTGCAACAATTGATGGTTATAGTCCATAAACACGTAAAGTAGTGAAATAAGTAGAGAATGGAAGAGAATTGAGATAAAAAAAGACTTTATCAAGTGATTTTATATATCACGTTGTATTTATTTTAAGCGTAATGGTTTAGGCTCGCTTAATTACATAATCTAATCTACCTTCCGAAAAAAATAAATAAATAAATAAGAAACATAATCTAAATAGTACAATAAAATTATTATATTAAATATAATTTATATTTTTTATTCCCAAATGTAATGTCAACTGCTTTAGGTGATCATAAAATAAGAAGAAAGAAGAGCACTTTATACGTGCAATTATGGAAGCCGGAAGTTCCAAGATTGGTAGTGCTGCAAAATTTTATGCCGATAATGATTTGGAGTCACAAAAGTCCGAATAACGTGAGTGAGAGCCCGTGATGTTATTAATATTCATAAGTTAAAAATAAATAAAAAAAATTAAACACACGTGTTTTTTGTCATGACGAAAGTAAGCTTAAAATGAGGATAATAGGATAATTTTAATGAAGATACATTTTAGTGCCCTTTAATATGAGGATATTGTTGACGGAGGTACATTTTAGTAATCTTTGGTGGGAAAAAAAAAAAAAAAAAAAAAATTGGTGCAATGAATTGAACAATTAGGTTCGTTTGTTCTGAGTATAAAATATTTTTCAGTAAAATATTTTTTAAAAAATATGTTATGTGTTTTATGATATTTGGTTGTTGTAAAATATTTACGAAAAAGAAAATATTAAAATCTAACAAAAATAAATTATTTTTCAATTTTTGGCGTTATTTTACACGTCTCATCTGATGGACTAGACCTAGATCTTTGTCAAATACAAAAAAAAAATAATAATAATAAAAATTTCAAATGGATTAATCTAAGTAATTTGATTTAATTCAAAATTTTGAATAAGAAGTGTCAATTTTTTTTCCTTTTTGGTGGGGACTAAGTTTTATAATAGGCTGACAAAATACAAAAGTGTCTCTTTTCAAAATAAATATAATTAAAAGATAAAATCAAAACTTAGGAATTAAAAAATTTGAAGATGACGAGAAAATTAATTTGGGAAGGATTCTATAAAACAAGTATATATCTCCAACTTGATATAGATGCTGTTGTAAAAACTGAAAATTTTAAAAGTTTAATATATATATTTTTAACATTGATAAATAACTAAATTCAATGTTATTTAAAATTTCAAGTCATTTATAGTGACACTTATTTTCTGAATTGAGTTACTAAAGAATTTATTTATTCAAATTTAGATATCTAAACACACGAGAAAAAGAGTATATAAAAATAATAAATGAATAAATGTCAAAATTAGCTTGGGCTACAAAACCCTTCTTCAACCCAGAGCTCTCACCTGAAAAGAACAGCGATAAAGCATCAGAGAAATAGCTCAAACTCAAAGCATGTTCTCTCGTCCTCTCTCCCACAAATCGATTCCTATTCTCTTCTGGACATTTAAAGGTACTCTCTCTCTCTCTATATATATATATATACACACACTCTAGATTATCTGTTCCGTTTTCCTCCCAAGTCTGAATTGTTTCTGTAATGATTGAATTTTCTATAATTAGTTAATTTTCTCATCGATTTCCAGCTTCCTTTTCCACACACATTGTTGGCGACACTCCAATTCTTGTAAGACACAATCTCTCCACACTTTATCTCTCTAGACACGCATGTAATTTCAGCTTCTGCTATACGAAATGATTGTATATTGTGGGTTTTCTTGATTTCAATGTGCAGGTTAGGGATTTTATACGATCTGCATTGTATGATCCTACTCATGGTTACTTCACTCAAAGATCAGGATCAGTCGGAGTGCTCGAGAGAAGCATTAGGTTCAATCAGCTCGAAGGTATTGTTGTCTCTTCTACCCTCTCTGCAGCTTCTAATTAAGTAATTTGTAATGGGTTCTGTGAATTTGGTGATTAATTAATTTATTTGATCATTTCGAGATATATATTTGTGTAAATTATTTGGTGTTCGAAGCACTGAAGTTCCCTGAATCGTGGTCAAGTAGAGGGTTACCATTTTCAATGCAAATTGATGATGTTCAACCCAAGAGTTGGATGCGTAATGCATAGTTAAAAATGGGTTTGGATGTCAAGGAAAGAAATGAGGTGGCTTTTTATAAATTGTAATTCTCTGTTTGTGATTTCAGCTAATGTTGAACTATGAAATTTCTCCCAAATTTGAAACTAGTGTAATTACACTATAGATGGTTTTTGTTATTAAGGATTTAGATGATGAATACTTTTTCTTGACTCAATGCCATATGAATATTCTCGTACTTGTTTCTGATGTGGAGTTTTTTGATTTCACTTGAGGTTTTCAATGTCAAGCTTTAAGGATTACCAGTTGTTCCTTTATGGATTGAAGTTATAGTGTTCAATAGATTACATTCCTAGAGCGTGTGAACTGGATTCATTGTTGTTTAACCTATACCATACGTCAATTTTTTGTTGCTAGGATGATTGAAAAGAGGTTACAGTGTTTTCAAATTTATACATTTCCAATGGTAAAGGCATGAAGGAATAAACAAGAGGATTACTGTTTGAGTCTCCAAGTGGACACACCGTGTGGTCTCTCCATTCTTCTCATAGCATCTTGTTGGCAGGATACAACTGGGTTGAAAACAAGATGCCGGGATCATCCAACGATAATTTTCACAGGATCCAAATTTCATTTATGACTAAATTGTGTTCATGCACTTGATTCACCATGTTCGATACTTCAAAATGTTATCAGCTGAATATCAATGAATTTTGGAATGGAGGGATTTATTAGAAAAGGAAAGAAATTAGATTCGAAATTATAATTTTCTTGCTTGGAATGTACAAAGTAATAACGTGAAAGAATTTTAGAAGAATTTCATTACAATTCTTGGTTTTTGTCAAAAAGGCATTAAATCAATTTTCTGTTCTAATATTTATGCATGTTCTTTTTTGCATTCATAGTGTAAAAGATGTCAATGGATAATTCCTCCCCTTCTTCCCACTCCCCACTAACATATATGTTCTCCATAACCAACAATAGAATTAGACTCCTCTACTTCTGTTCCTTTCCTTTTATTTGGTTAAACTCCTTTTTCTCTGTCTCCTTGCAACAATAGCGTGGAATCTTGGCCCTATACGCACATTACAAAATTTGAGTGATAGAAGAACAAACGAATGATTCCAGCGGGGAGAGAATGGACTCAAAAGACTTTTTGATCACAAAAGTAGCGGTAAGGGAGAAAGAACAATATACAAGGGAGGGCTTAGGGTGGTATAAACAAGCACCTCTATCATAGCAGAAGAGAAATATCAAGATGGAGAGAAAACCAGAACCAAATAAACATGGGAATTTTAGAGAAAAAGAGCGCCAAGCTCTTTTGAATTATCATTATATTAATCCATCTCCGAAGAGTCAGTTCTCTTTTTTCTATTTTTTCTTGTTTGTTTGTTGTTCTCCAAAGCTAATAAGCACGAGGATGTGTTAAAAAATATAAAATAAGCACAAGGAATATAACCACTCTAGACAGGTATCGCACACTGACATTTCTCGAATACTGTGGACATGTGTGGGACACATCTTCCACTTGTCCGTGTTTCAAAAATCAGATTCTTAATTTGGATACATATAAAATTGAATTACATATTTGTATGTAATTTGTATTTAAGTTTGATTATAATGAAAAAAAAGAAAGAAAAGATATAGCAAGGTTTTACTAAAGTAGTGGGGATGTGAATTGGAGATGAGTCGTTAAAATATGTGTAGAAATGTAATTATAAATATTTACATACATACACAAACACATACAAATATTTGTTGTGTCCTCAAATAACTATAATTATAAAATTTATACGTTACAAATTTCATGTTTTAGTTATAAAATATTAAATCTGCTTATTATGAAATAATTTTTTCATTTAATTTTTTTGCCTGGTCCATGTTTATCTCTTAGTTTTTTTAGTTTTTGCCATGTCAAGTACATGTGCTGTTTCATGTCTGAGACCTGTGTTTGTATCTATACTTCTTACTCCCCAAGACTATTAGTGGGCTCTATAAAATTTTAAAGACAGTCGTTAAAAACCTCATCAAAGTATTCCTATCGTAGTGATATATTAATATACTAGCGAATTCTATTCCCAAAACACTTAGAAACTTTAAAAAATAAGTTAATCAAGCATTAGTTAAAAAAGACTCCTGATAGCAGTCAGACTACTGAGGTTAAAGCGTTAAACCCAAATGCCATGTCATCTATTTGTGGATCCCACATCAAAAGCCTTATAGCGTTGGGGTCTCCGTGGTTGCATATCCTTTTTTGCTTACGTTGTTGTCACTCTTCTTTGAAACTTAAGAAGCTAGAATATTGAGAGATGTATTGTCCTGTAAGTAGTAAGTAATGGAATTGTGGAATATTTCAGGCAGGAGAGCTTATATGCAGCATTTGGATAAAATTTACAAGCAGAACAACATATCATGGTTTACTCCTGTAGAGCTTTTTAAGGTAATATACAAAATATAATCCATTTACTTGATAACTGTGAGAAAGACAGAGGGTATTCTTTATTATGATGTATTTTTGGAATTGTGAAAGTCCACATGATAATGCAATTGTTGGATGAGATTTTTGAGGAAGTACAGGTTTGTGGTGCACTGAGGATGTTGGAGCCATGGACTATGAGTGATCGGGATGTTAACATCTGCATATTGCTTTTGAGAACTCCCAAAAGGAAAAAAGGATTGTGATTATTCCTCATGTTACCATTTTCTTTGCAAATTTGCAATATTGACAAAAAAAAAAAATTGATCTTTTTTGGTTTGTTACATTTAATCTCACTGTAATTCTAACAATGTTTTGCTTAATTTTGTATGTATTCTCTTTTCATGAAAATTTTCATTCTTGTAGCCTTGGTATGCCCATGGGATTGCTGAAGCAATTATGCGAACTGCTAATCTTTCAGTTCCATTAAGAGTAAGTTCCTTCTTTATTCTGATCTGCCACTTGATGAAGTGTCACCCTAAACTTGTTTCTTTTAAAACTTCATCTTGTGTTGCTTTTAAGTCATTCTGCAAGTTAATTTTTGGTTTCATATGTACATTTAAAATTATTTTATGATATAAAAGAGAAGCTTTATTTCTGTATTACACTTGGATTCACTGGCATTGATCTGTTTTAATTTAATTTGCAATGTCTCAGTGACATAGTGTAATGCTAATGATTAATAAATTACTAAACCTGGCTGTACTTTTTAGATATTTTGATGGTGCACATTGTGAAAACTTATGAACATGTAATGACTAGAGAGTAGAGACATCTGACGTAACTTAAATGCAGAGGTTCCTGCATTGAATCTCCTGTTTCATTTCTACTTAACAAAGTAGAAATGAATAAATGGCACAGGTTCAATGGTCACATCTAAATTCATGTGCTTTCATGCAATCAAAATTTTGTAGTGTTAATTTTTCATTTTTTTCCATCTCCTAGTTAGAACTTTTGCTGTTCGTTTTTTCCCTCTTACTGTTTTGACAGCTTTCAATTTCTTCAAGATAATTGTTCACCCTAGAAGCTTACTTTTAAATTTATTAACTCTAAAGGTAAATTAAGTTGTGTACACGATTTGAACTATGGGGAGGGGTGGACTGGTTACAAAACTTATCTCTAACTTTATTTGCATGAAGTGGCATCACTCGGGCTGAATTTGAATGAAGTGGAACCATTTCCCAAACTGACAGACTAAACTTTCACCATTGTAAAAATAAACATTACACTATTTATATACTTAAAAATAAACTAAAGTTATAGATCTTATTCGCTATTGAATAATTTTTTGTCACCTGGCAGCTAGAGTCTCTGACGCTTCAGCACTTCCACTTCGAGGGGGTGCATGTAGGTGACTATCTGCTAACATTTCTTGATTAGTTCCTCAGGTGCTCGAAAACCAAGCTAGATGAAACAATGGCGTTTGTGCTCCCTAGACAACACTAATTGATTCCTAGCTGTTTTGCTTCTGTAAATGTGCCATATTTTTGGCTTGAAAGGACGAACCATTCAATAATTCATGTACTTAACTTTTTCATTCTTTTTTATCTTTGTGAGATTTCATCTGGGAAATGATTCAATTTCATTTCCAAAACTTGAACAGTAATAGCTATTGTCGATTTCATACTATCCCTTGCCTGCAGCTTCTACCTTAAGTCTATTTGGTATTAATATACTTTAGCATATATGTGAGCTCTTTAACCAATTGAATATAGTTTGTTTGAAATAAACTCTTTATCTCTTCACTATCTGTTTGTACAAATATGTATCTCAATCATCTTCCACGTGCTTGATCATAATATAATTTGACTTTTTATAAAAAATATTCATCCCTTTTCCGGACCTTTTGTTTTCATTCAGTTTGTATATTATAATGTATTTTGATATATTTTCTTTCCCATGGCAATACTTGTGCTAGCTTATATTCATTTGTCACTTCCCTTTTTTAATTATTATTATTATTATTATTATTTTTTTTTTTGTGTTAAAATCTACTTCTTTGCATCTTAGGAATAAATATTGATCCTATTCCTTTATTATCTATATTCAGATATATGAAATTGGTGGTGGATCAGGAACTTGTGCAAAGGGCATAATGGATTACATAATGTTGAATGCACCTACGAGAGTTTACAATAATATGACTTACATGTATGTGCATCAATTTTACCTTCTATTACTATGACACTGTAGACCTCTTTCTAACATTAAGCTTGTAATGGCATCTTTAAAGATGTGAATAGGAACTTGTGTGCTTTTCATATAAATTGTTATAAAATCTTGAAAAGCAGATCTAGACCCTAAAGAAGATCAAATTGGATAAAGGGGTGATTATTTCTCATCTTTTCCACTGTTTGGTTCACATTCACCTATTTGACTGTATCCGTTTTTGGTTTAGAGGTTGTGCTGTGGTTCTACTTCATAAAGTGCTAATCTGGAGTTCTTGACTTAACTGCTTGTACTTCATCAATAAATTTTAAAATTTTGATGAATGGTTGTGAACCTATAATTAACTAATTTTTTTCTCTAAATTTTGGAACAAAAGATATGCGACTTTTACTGAGTTAGTGAAGTCTCTACACTGTATATTTGGATTTTTTCCACCACCATTTCTAATCTTGCTAGGCTTAAATTGATTTGTGGTGGTTTTGCCGTTTGACTTGGATTCAACCTGAATACTAAAATTTAATCATATTTAAGTATTTTTAGGATTAGTCTCTCTGAGAGGAATAGAGAAGATGACATCTCCTTTTATTGTTTTTCTTGGTAAAGAAGAGGACCGACTTACTTATCAAAAAAAAGAAGAGGACCGACTCAATATTGAAAGAGAAGTTTAATACTTAAAAAAGGAAAAAAAGGTGTTCTTAGAATTTTGATTAAAATTTCAAATAATTGAAAATCCAAAATTTTGTACTAAGGCTAATTACAGTTACTTTATGTGGTTGGGCCTATAGGTTGTATCACAGACGCTACTAATACTACCTTTGATGGTGGATAAAATGCAACTGTTAGTTTTTCCATCTAATATACTGGTGTACCAGTGTCCACACAGCAATTCAAAGGTGGGAACACTCCCTCCTAATTTGAAGTGCCAAAATAAAATTTATGTCCTTATAAACCACTTGTACCCTTCTCTTAATTTTCTTCTCTCTCTCATTCACTTTCTCCTCAACCAACATTCAGCAAGCCCACCACCTCCTAACTATTTGCCCTCCCACTCCTATCACACTTTCTATTTCTCCCTGAAACCCCATAATCACGACACTATCATCTAACACTGCCACCACCACTGCCACCAAGCACCACCGCTAGTTTTGTCACCATCTCTCCTCCCACCATCGTTTCTCACTTTTTTTGTGTACTTGAATTGGGTTTGCTTTCAATTCTTGATTTATTAGAGTTTCTGGTAACAAGTTTATACTCTGGGAATTCCCTCCTTTCTATGACTTAAAGAAAAACAAACCAATTTAAATTTTGGAGTTCTCTTTAGATGTTCTACTTCATTCACACGTTTATTCTCTTCTGCATTTCTAAAAGGAAATAAATTAATCAAAATTTTCTTTTCTAAATTTCAAGTATGAATACATACAAGTATTTCTCTAGAAAAGATAATGGCCCACTTTAGACTCAACCCACAAAACAACGTATATCAGTAGAAATATGAAAATATATTAATATTTTTCAGATATTTGTTTTTATTTGTAGAAATATTTAGTAAGTTATAATTGACTTGAAGTATTAGGAAATGTGCATGGCACATGGACTTTTACTAGTATGTATATACATATATTGAATAGATATTATGGATAAATATAAAGAGGAGAAATTGAAATTGGATTTACTCTTGATTGTTGATTTTGAATTTTCATAACAGTACATGTATGAATTGGAGATGTGGGCAGAGAGAGAAATAGAAGTAAGAGTTGGGTTTGCTTTTGATGCTTAATTTGTTATTCTTCTAAAAAGAAGATATATTCAATTTAATTCAACTCAACAAATTTTAATTCGAACTACTCGGGGTCGATTACATGGATTCGTCATCCCTAATTTTCTCTAAGCTAATCCTTTGTAACCTTGCCCTTCCTCATGGCTTCAACCATGTTTTTTTTGGCCTTCCTCTTGTTCTTTAGAACCTTCAATTTGGATCAAATCACTCCTCCATAACAGTGTGTTGAGTTATCTATGTTGTGCATGGCTAAATCATCTTAGACGATTTCTTCGTTTTATATTCGATCAGGTGACTTCAATCTTCTCATGAATGGATAGTTTCTTGTTCTGTCTTTTCTTGTCATGCCACTTATTGGTCTCTGCATTCTCATTTCTGTTGCACAATTTTATTTATTTTTTGACATGCTTCTTGGTTATTAGCTGCCAAACATTTGGTATAATGTAATATAAATGTTTGCATCGGATGCAAGTGGAGTAGAGAGCGGGAAAAGAGAAAAGGGAGGATGAAATCATTATTGATTTGGACAGAGAGAAAGGAGATGGAAATGTTTGGGGGTAAAGATAGAATGGATGTCGGAGAGAAAAGTGAGGAGAAAGTATGGTGGTGGCGATGAGAAGTGATGGGTGTTATAGAGAAGAGAAAATAGAAAGAATGGTATTTTGAACATTATACATTTAATTTCTTATAACTCTTTATATATTGCTCTTTAGTCACAACTATTTGCATGCGCAATGACACCTTTTGAATTTTGGGGGTTTTCGGTGTTTTTATGCCTAACCACTTGGAGGCAAATGTAATTATAACTTGGAATTATCTTTCATATTTAATAATAATTATCCGTTTGCTTCATAGTTTCCTTAAATTAGGAGGATGCTTGGATTGAGTTCTGGACCTTACTAGAACTTGCCTGAACTTTAGCCAGTAACTAGTCAATATGTATGTTTTGTACAACTACAGATGTAAGAGATGTTTTGTTTACTGCAGTTCAGTGGAAATCAGTTCCTCACTGGCCAAGAAACAAATAGAGACAGTTGGAGAAGTTGGCAGTCACTTATCAAAGTTTCGAGTAGAGTGTCGTGATGCTGCCGATCGGAGTGGGTGGGGTAATTTGACCTCCACTGTGAACACATTTTCCTTTTTTCTCACTTTTCCTGATGAAACTACATTTACATTTCTTGCAAAATTAATACTCCGTATGCACTTATTTCTGTTGTCCAATTGTGAGGCCCTACTTTTTGGTCATGACCTTGAAAGAATATTCATTGAAGAGAACTATGCTTACAATACACCATGATATCTTCCATTTAATTTTATTTTTATAGCTATTACTACTGTTATCATCATCATTAAAACTATTTTAGTTATTATGATAATTATTATCATTGATCTCAATATGATATTAATTATTATCATTGGTCTTGCCGTTTCATTATGCGATTTGGTTCACTTGTGTTCTGGTCTTATCCTTCACCTTCAGTTTCCACCTTGGTTTAAATATTCAAAAGAACAAAAGAAGTATGCACTTAATTTGAATTCGTTTGTTAGATAATATGAATTTTATTCAATCTAGTGCTGGTTGAAAAAGGGTCCTTAGATGAATGATAGTATTTTTTAATACAATCTTAAAGAGATTTTCCAAAAAGAATTCCCAATGCAAATTAAGTCATTCTTAACACAATTTTGAGAAACGTTTTTTACATGTTGGGCCTTCATGGTGCATTTGATGGATTGATCTTACTTATTTGAAAACAAGAGGGGACATGTGATAATATTGCTCGATATTTCATGTGTGTCTTGTTTATTGATTTTTTTGAAGAAGTGGTATAGTGATAGTTCGATATTAGAGATTGCAATGGGGGCAGTCTGGGAGGTGTTCTTTACCTAACCTTTGCTCCCGAGGGGGAAAAAATGCTTCCAAAACTTGTCTTGGAGACCGGGACTCAATTCAAGACGGGATGGGATGGGGTGAGAAAATCATATGAAGCTAGGCAGGTACCCCATCAGGGCAAAGATAGAGAGAGAGAAGAATGGTTAATGGCAACACAACAACCAAGAGTGAGCATATATTCGAAGGTCATTAGATAGCAGGGGCTCTTTTCCTAACCTTTGCTCCTGAGGAAAAAAATAGTCCCTGAAATTGTCTTGGAGACTGGGACTCAATTCAAGACAGGATGGGACCGGGTGAGAAAGATATATGAAGTTGGGCTGGCACCTCATCGGGGCAAAGAAATAAAGATAGAGAGAGAGGAATGGCTAATGGAAACAGAACAACCAAGAGTGAGCTTATATTCAAAGGGCATTAGCTAGTTTTGGTTCTGCCTAATGGAGTGCTGTGAGAGAGTAAAATGTGTTTTTGGCAGACTAAGAATTATGTATATATATTTACTATTTCAATTGAGCTGTTCCTCCTGCGGGTTCTCTCTGAGGGTCATTACCATTTATGTTTTACCTTTTCTTTGACTAATAGATATTGATCCATCTCCATGTGAAATCTGGTGTAGCATGGAATCAAGGGAATTGGCTGGAGAATGTTACAAGGGATAAAGTTCTAAAATTTTTAGTTTACCAGTTACAGTGTGCTACTGTTTATATTAGTTAGAGGGAACAGAAGAAGTCTTTTAAATAAATTGCTGTAACTGTCCTCGCTCAGAAATGACAATTTCAATGTTATTTGAATCATGTTTTTTCATTTAAAAAATCCCAGTACTCAGCATAATAGATGGGTGCATAGGGAATGGAATCTCTCCTGTGAATCTTCCAATAATAAGTAGCTATCTGGTAGAAGTCCTCGTGATATTTCCTGAACTCACCTCTGTCTCATAGTTCTGCACGATACTGTCCATCGGGATTATATGAGGCTCCATAGTTGATTGAGTTGACCAACGTATATCATGAAATTTTTGATCTGCTGTGTTATGATTCTTTATATAAAATACCTTTTCCGCTGGAAATGTTAATGATGTGATTTTTTTTTTTTTCCCGTTCAATGGTCAACAAGAAAGTAGAAAGGCAGGGTGTCGCTAGGCAGACACCTTAATTGACCACCTAAAACGAGTTATTTTTTCCAACGGTCACCTTGCTTATGGTAGAATATATGTTTTTCTTAATGCACTTATCAATTTTTTCTTGTCATTATTTAGAAAATGATATATGGAAATAGAAAAATTGTATTCTTTGATAAAATGTTACATCTTTTCATCATTCTCCTCATGTTTGCTAGATCAAATGTTAATCTTGCCCCTCTCTCCAACCACTATAAATAGGGGTCCTTTCCTCCCCCTTAAAAAAAAGGGGGAAATTTGTTAAGATTTTATTTTCTTTGTCATATAAATATCTAAAAATTGCCATTTAATTGCGAGCTGGAGCCTGTTTTAAGTATCCTTCATCAGGTTAGAGAACTAAGAGTACTTTTGCTATTGAAAACAGGGGATGCAGAGCAACAACCATGCTGGGTTATAATGCTTGAGGTATCATCAATCTCTTTGCTTCTTTTTTGACTGGATTTTAAATATTTTTTACAAGATCAGTAGTATAAGTTCCCCACTAATACTGAAAATTGATTGCGTACTCTTGGAGGTCCTTGGAAATCATTCATTGTAAATTGAAGGTGGTGTTAGAGAGTCCGAATTATTTTCTTGTTCACTAGAAAATGTACAGACGCAACAATTATTTAGACAAGAATATGAGATTACATATTCTTATATATATATTCCAAAGTTATTTTATATTTGGTACTATATAACTTACTTTATGAAGGCAGTGGTTTCTATAGTGACTGTAACATATTGCTGCCCTTCCTATGAGGACAAGGTGGTTGTGGGTTATGCCTTTATCATGTGAATCCATAACAAATGCTTTAATGAATGAAGTAACATTGTGTCCTGATGTCACTTCAAGAATAAAGTATTGCTATCAACCTGAGAGCTATATGCTATACATCTTCTCAAGCGAAACTCCTATGTGAGTTCCAGTTAGATTCATCTTATGCATTTTATTTATTTTAATTAGTTAATTATTTTCTTATAGGTTCTTGATAATCTTCCACATGATCTTATCTATTCGGAAAATCAAGTTTCACCTTGGATGGAAGTATGGGTTGAAAAGCAACATGACAGGTGAGCAACTGCGTGCAGCTAGTGTCACTTTTTCTCTTTAAATACTCTATAAAAATTGATATAGGAACTTTGTCTCATTTATACACTTGGCATATGATTTTGCTAGATGAAAATGAACAAACTGAAGTAATCCATTATTTGTTTATGTATGTGTTCATCTATGTGATTGTGCAATTATTTTTAGACTGGTCATGTCTGATGCACATAAATGGAATTTAGTTGTGATAAAGAGTGTTTAGAAACCTTGATTTTGATTTTGGGCATGGATTTAAGAATTGTGGTTAGTTAGGAACCAATTTCCATTTGTTATTTCAAATCTATTGATGTGGAGGTTTGAACTCTGTCCAAGGGTTTCGCCAAATCAATTGCATGATAAAGAGTCCTTCCAGAAGGAATTTGGACATAAGGCCTCAAAGTCAAATCTTTATCACAAGGGCTGGCAATCTAAATGCTAACTTAATGTTTTCCTTGAAGTATTCGGGAACTGTGTTTTACTTTTTGCCTATACTACATCAAAATGACAATTATCTTCCTGCATGTTTTCCAAGTATAGTAGTGTTAGCTGTAGGACCATTAAATATGCACATAACGATCCTATATATATATATTTTTTAGTAGGTCACAGCTCTCTGAGTTGTATAAGACTTTACAAGATCCACTAATTACACGTTGTATGGAGATTGTGAATTTGGACGAAGATCATACAGCTCAAGGAAGCAAGGGAGATTCGGCACTAAAAAAAATTTGGGCTAAAATTTACCCAAAGTCTCAAAGATGTTGGCTACCTACTGGCTGCCTGGTACAAGAATTTTTTAGAACAATGTCGCAATAATTTTGTTGTCTTCTATATCAATTTACTTATGCAATTCAACTCCCCTAAAACATTCAGAAACTTCTAGAAGTTCTACATGGAGCCCTACCAAAGATGTCTTTGATTGCTTCAGATTTCAGTTACCTTCCTGATGTGAGAATACCTGGTGAAAGAGCTCCATTGGTTTCAACCAAGGTACATTTTATACCATATTTTGTTTTAATCATTATGCATTGGTTTCCACATGTTCTCAGAACCTTCTTATATACTTTGATAAAGCAAATCTTATGAGCCATATAAGCCTATCCTCATTGTGCTTTGTCCCTAGTAAGCAGCATACTTTACATCATTCCGATCATGTCCTAAAGTGACTGTAGCTAACATTACCATGCTAATGAAGCCATTGGTTTCTTGTGGTCCCTACAGAAGCAAAAACAATAGAGGTTTGACTAACATCTCAATGGAGAAGGGAAGGAGAGAAGGGAGGGGGGGTCTTGTTAATTGAATCAAAACGATATTTCAAGACCTTCGGAGACACTCGTGGTTTATGCACAAAATTTTGTATATTTTGGGGAAATTGGCCTTTTCATCTTTATGTTCAATGATCAGCTAGTGAGGTGGTTGACTACAGTTAAGTAGGTACCTAGTACATTAGAGGAGTTTCAAGGATACTCATTCCATCTAACAGGTTTCCTTTGATATGACATTTCCAATACTTTTTTTTAGTCTTTTACTATTTCTTTGACTGCTGTTCTTCTTTTCCGTACTCTCTTTCTTCCTCTTACAAATGGTTTCTATTTCTCAGTGAAAATAGGAAAAATAGAAATATCTATCTTCTTGTTTTCCACTTCATCTACAAATTGCTTGCTTTGTTTTTATAAGACTATAGACAAGCATGTCAAACAATATTAACAATCCCCACTTAATTCATTTGACCTTTTCTACAATTTTTCTCTGCAGAACGACGGGCAAAGTTCAGATCACAGCAGTTATCTGGATGCTAAGGTAGTATTTTATCATTTTTATTCCCTTTTTCTGTGTCTATAAGGACTCTTGAATCACCTTAGTATTACTCCCTGCAAATAATGCCAATATCCTTTCTCAGTGACTAAGATGCCAATAGCATGATAAATATGCTGTTAGATAATATTGGATCGTAAAATTCTGGGGATAACTTCGTCCATATATTGGAAAATATTCTAATTAAGGTGGATATTTTTCAACATATAGTATCAGTGTTGTTATGATCAAAGGTCCGGTAGTTATATATATGCCTTGATTAGTTTAACTGGATGGTACTTTATGCTGTATCATCTGTAAACTTCATGAAGCGGGGAGCTGATGGCCGTATTAGTAGTGAAAACATCTACAGTGTTCTGCTTAAACCACTATTTTTGTCCATTATTCGACCAATAACAGAAACTAAAATTGAGTGCTTGCCTCTGCTTCAGTTTTTTTGTCAACTTCGAATGATTGGATTGATTCATAGTGGTGTCTTGACAGCAGTCAACATGTTCTATTCCTGCTGCATTCCCAGGCACAAATCTTCAAAGTTAAGAGTGGAGCTGTGAGAAGGAAGTTGATGTTAATTAATTAATTTAATCATCAAGAATTTTATAGTCAGTTTTATTTATTTATTTTTCATAATTGGATTTGATAGTCAGTTTTTTTATTCTTTTTTTTTTTTTGGAGGGTTAAGCAAATTCGCACACCCATGCCTCCACCGAGGCTCGAGCTGACCTCCCCTTTGGGGAGATGGTTTTGTACTAGCTAGGCTATTGCTCATTTGGTCAGTTTTTTTTATTCTTGTTTCTTGATATCTCAAATCTTGCATGTACATGTGATAAAACTTATTTCCATATGCTGTAAAATGCAAAAATAGGCCCATCCATGGTCCATTGGTCTCAGTCAAGTTGAAACGGAATAAAAACATTTCCACCATTTCATCAACAGCCCATCGCACCTGACTTTGAAACCTAACACTTCGAGATTCCTTTCTTTGTGCTCTTGAATACAACATGACTATAATCTTCCTTACTATGTGATGCGTCTAACTAATGCCATCCACTACAATTCCTTGCAGCAATAAAAATGTGCTATCTTTTGGTTCATCATTTAAAAAGGAGTGGTATCTTGAATCATTTTGTAGGTTACAGTAGTTTCCTGGAGATATCTTGCTTAACATACTGAATTAATCCATTCATTTATTATGTAATTAAAAGTCAAACATATTATTGTACCGACTGCTTCACAGGAACATGATACTGCAAAAATAACCGGCTTACTTATTTTGTGAGGTCAACCTTGTGTATTATCTTGTGAGTTTGTTTGCCGTGTTGATAAAAACACCTGAGTTTCCAGTCTTTTATAATCTCTGGGCATTACATTGATGTTTTGAATATTTTTTATTGCAGGGTGATGCTGATATCTTTTTCCCAACAGACTTCTGGCTGTTGGAACGTCTAGATCATTATTGTTCTGGGTGGCTGAAGCTGCAAAAAGAAAAATCATCAAAGCAAGGGAAAAAAAGGCGGACTATCACGGTAATTTCTGCTCTTTTCTAGCACAACGTTTTAAATACAAACAGTTACAGGAAATATTTGAATATTGAGTAGAAAATTCCGTGCAGTATTGGCTGGCTTCTTTTCACAAATTTTTAGAGATATATATATATATATATATATGATAAACATCTTATTCCTTCTTTTTATATTCCAATTATCAGTATTGAAAAAGTTTGATTTTGTAATTTTTATTTTTTTTAAAAAAGGTCAGTCTGCTACACCTAAAATACCCATAGTTGATTAAGATACATCTGTTTGCAAATTGATTTTTATGTATATATCTCAAGTTTAAAAGTTTTTGGTAACTTATTTTTAGTTGGTGCTCACGTTTATCACATTGGGTGTAGCTTGAGACATCTTCATTCATGGAAGAGTTTGGTCTGCCCACAAAAACGAGGACCAAAGATGGATACAACCCTCTTATGGATGACTTCAAGAACACTAAAATTTATCTGAGTGTTCCCACGCATAATACAAAGTAGAAGAAGCTGATATAGTATGTTTTCTGAGGCCACTTCACTTTGGAGGAAGCATGCTCTTGAAGCTACACGGTCGATTTTGAGGCTTGGCTTGTTAGAATTGAAGTGTGTCAAATATGCGAGTTAAATCAGGCATGATGCGAACAATGGTTTGAGTTTGTGCTGCGCATGATGCAGAAATTTATGTATCAGGATACAGTCATAAAACACAATTTGGGGACCAAATTGTGTTTTACGAATTCTTTGTTGTGAGGCTAGGGCTAGCTAAGCAAGCACAACCTGGAAAAAAAAAATGAAAGCTTAGAAACAGTTTCAACTTCTCACGATCATTTGTTGTCATTCAATTTTGTAAGAGAATTAGATGAGGAAACAACGTTATTCATGTGTTCTATTTACATATTTTTCTGAGCATTTTTACACTAATTCTTCATTTTAAATAATTTTAATGTTGCAAAAAATATAATTCTTGCAACTTCAAGCTGATGACTTCATGACTTTCTCCATGTTGGATCCTTCCAATAACATTTTATTCAGGCCTAAGAACAGTTTTGGAGGAACTCTTACTTTTTAAATTATCAAACATGTCTTCCTCACCTTGAGGGGAAATCTTATTTATAAATAAAATAAAACAATAAAATAAGTTATCAATTAAAATATAATTTTATTTACAAAAAATTACCCAGCCTTTACTCTACACAGGATTTCTCATAATAAAATAAGTTATCTATTAAAATAATAAACCTATTTTACACAAAATTTCTCGAGGTTTACTCTACACACACGGAATTCCTCAGGGTTACTCTCTTACACAGGCTAAACACGTCTTAAAATAATTAATTGACGTGTATTGCTGATTGTTTTTTTAAAATAATAAATTCTAGGATATATTTTTTAATTGACATGTATTTTGTTTTATTGTTTTTTCAAAATAATATTGACTCCAAATTTAATTGTTAAAAGTTTAATAGAAGAATTTTTTAATTGTTTTTGTAAAATAATATCGATTCCAAAATAATATTAACTTGTATTTTTAGCAGTGTTTGCATTTGGGCTTTTATATATAATTTCTTCTTGTTCCTTTTTTTATTGTTTTTTTTTTCTTTTTTTATTCTTAAAGTCTTGCAAATTAAAATTTTTATTGTTTATTTGTTCGGTAATTAATATTTTGCTTTTAGATTAATAGAAACTCTTTTAAATTTTATCTATTTTTAAAAGTTGTAAAAGGTATTGATGTACTAAAAGGGTTGTTAGTTTCTTTTGATTTTATAATAATGTATGCTTTTTTGCATTTCTTTCTTGTGCATTCGATCTTGAGTTTGTCTTATGAATGCCTCTTTTGTAGAACAGAGTCCGAAGAATAAGTAAAACAGCGCATGATGAGCTACAATTTATGAAAAATTAATCAATTCAGTTGGATTCTCCAAATTTTAGTTATTTGTTCTAATGTTGTGCTTTTGTTCTCTAAAAACATTAATATTTTAATATTTAATTTTAAATTTAATTTTTTTTTTACTATATTTAAAATATCTATATTAAAAAGAAATTAATCAATGTAATGGTATCTATTATTAAATAAACCAAATTAAATAATAATTTTTAAAAAAATTAAAATTAACTTTTTGGGTCCCTAAGTTTTGGCAAATTTCTCAACCAAACAGGTCCTGCAGTACTTCAAATTTATTCAGCCTTCAAAAAGTGAGCCCGCCGTGCCAAAAATTGCAGCCCAATTTATGATTCAATTTTTTTTGGGCCAAATTTCGGACAAGCCCATTGAAATACCCAATTCGGCAATGTTAAGACAAACAGAGGAGGAGTAGTTTCCTAAATTAATACCAGTAGGTTTCCTTTCCTTATGGTATTAGGATTCCGTTATTATAAATTCCACTAGTGCTATAAATATCACATTACTCCTGCAATCCCTCATATATCTTAGCTTTCGCTTCATATATCACACAAACTACTCTCTCTCTCTCTCTCTCTCTCTCTCTCAGGTTAGGGATTTGGTTTTTTGTTTTGAGAGACACAATACTATGTCGACTTCAAAGATCGTCGTGTTGAGAAGTTCCGGCGGTGGATCTATCAGTAAGATTGCTGGATTCCACGATGGAACTACACAAACGCTGGGTTCTCATTATCCTCAAGAAGCCTGGAATTTTCCTGGGAATCTCCCTTACACTTCACAACACCAGCTTAATATGAAAGGCAGTAGAAGGAATTTCCAAATGGCGTTTCCCGAGCAGCAGTTGAATAATATTGAAAACAAGGTGATGAGGAGCTCAGGACAGTTGCCTCAGTTTCCTAGTGATCAGGCTGGACCAATCCCTTTGAATATGAAAAACCACCCACTGCAACTTATTCCTTTACAACCTCACTTACGTGTATCTCAGCAAAATTTGGGTCCGGCGGCCGGAGTTTCAATGCCATCATCTTTAATGGTTCCTCCTGTGAATCATGGACACACAACGCAAGGGCATGGTTCTGCTGTAAATGCTTTCTTATTGAATCCAATTCCTGCCGTTCATCCGTCGTCCATGCCAATCCTTGATATCCCAAAAAGCTCCATGCATTTGCAAGGACCCTTCCCACCTCTTCCTCCAGGTCCCCCTCCTGCCTCATCACAAATGATACTACCCATCCTACAAAAACCAGGTCTAATTGTTCCTAACCCTCCTGCTGGGAATGCATTTTCAGGTTTCTTTAATTCTCTCATGGCTCGAGGTTTGATTTCATTGACAAAGCAAGCTCCTGTGCGGGATTCTGTGGGACTTGTATTCAATCTTCAACTTCTCAAGGTGCGCCATGAGTCTGCAGTAACCGCTTTATATGCTGATCTCCCAAGGCAATGCAAAACGTGTGGGCTTCGGTTCAGAAGCCAAGAGGAGCACAGCAGTCATATGGATTGGCATGTGACGAAGAACCGGAGGATGTCCAAGAACCGTAAGCAGAAGCCTTCTCGTAAGTGGTTTCCAAGCATTGACCTGTGGCTTAGTGGTGCGGAGGCATTAGGGAGTGATGCTATTCCTGTGTTTTTACGTCCCACTGAGAATGTTGAGGAAAAAAAGGATGATGAAGAATTGGCTGTTCCTGCTGATGAGGAACAGAACGTTTGTGCGCTATGCAGAGAGCGTTTTGATGATTTTTATAGTGATGAGACTGAGGAATGGATGTATAAGGGGGCTGTCTACATGAATGCCGCCGATGGGTCAACGGCAGGCATGGATAGGTCTGAGTTAGGTCCAATAGTGCACGCCAAATGCAGGTCCGAGTCTAGTGCGGTTCCCCCTGAACGCGATGAAGGGGGATATACTGAAGAGGGTAGTCAACGGAAACGCATGCGAAGTTACCCTAATTAGATCAGCTTTTGTAGGTCCTGGATGAATTTTTGAGTTGTTTTTGATATTAGTGGTATACTTTTAATCATGTACATGTATAGTTGTACCATTGCACATTTTCTTAAGCAAAAACGTTACAAATATTCCTTATCATTCTCCATTTTTTATTCTTATACATTAATTGGATTGAAAACTACAAAAAAGCCATACAAAACAGTTTTAAGTCTGACATTTGGGAATCAATCAAACCTGAAAATGAACCAAGGTTGAAAATGGACCATATAGTGCTCTAATGTTGATCTATATATCTATCCAATTTAAGGAAATTAACGGGCAGAGAATTCCAAGAGTCAAAGGAGTTGTATAATTTGTATTGTATGGTAACTATAAATTATCGTAACTAGAGGTAGAATTTTCGAGAAACGCAACACTCCCATGCCCATTACTTTTCCCCAAAAAAAAAATAATAAATTCTTGAAAACAATATTTTTCAAAAATTAAACAATGTTATACAGGTTTATTGAATTTAAATTACCGAGTGACAATTGGGCGTTTTAGGCGATCATGAATGTGCAAGTCAATAATAAATTAATAACTCGTTATCAACCAATTTATGATGGATCATAAAAGGGTTGAGTGTTAAATGGGCTCGTTAACACACTTCAAACCAAATTATCCAAATATATTTAAACACAAATTATCAAATTATTTTAATTGTTGAATACCAAAAAAATTTAAATATATTAATTTTTTGTTCTCATTCATTACAATTTTTATTTCTTTGATTTTTTTAAAGACAAAATCACTATACGACTTACTTTGAGAGTTGTCACAGTCACAAAAACAAAAAAAAAAACAGACGGAGAGAGAAAAGGAGAGAAAAGAGAGAAAAAATGGAGAAGGGATAGAAACAGAATAAGAAAGTTATCACAGCAAAAAAATTAAAAAATAAAGAAAACGGAGGAGAGAGAAGAGAAAAAGGGCAAAAAATAAAGAGTTTGCCTCATAAAATATTAATAAGAGTTTAGTATCCTCCACTCTTCTTCTATTCCTAAAATTTTAAAAAATAAAATAAAAATAAAAATAAAACAATTTACATAACTCCCACTCTCCTATTCATAAAAATAAAAATTAATGGTAAATATAAATTACGTACTACTTACAAAATAATTTAGGTCTAATAATAAAAACAACTTTCCTTCAATTTTTAAAATAAAAATAAATAGTATAATAATAAAAATAATTTTCATCTCCCCAAAAAATTAACACAAAAAACATACTTTGATAACTTTTTTTTCCATTTTTGTTTAATTACATTAAAAACTTATTATAATAAAAATATGTAATAAATTAAATTTAAGTAATTTATTGTTTATCAAGAATTTGAACATTAAAATTTTAAAAGTTAATCTATCATTTTGTTTCAAATTCGAGTTTCAATTCAATAATTTATAAATAAAAATAATAAAAAAAATTACTTTCCTAATTAGGTTTCCTTATACAACTTAGAATTCATATTATAAATAAAATAATAAAAAAAGAAGTTAGGTCCTATATATACCACCTTCCATTGTGGAATTAGGGTTATTCTATTTTTGCCGCCGCCGCCTCCTCCTCCAACTCGTGTTTCTCTGAGACAACCATGGTGGCCGCGAGGAAAGAGACGGAGGTGAAACTACCTCGACGTACTAGGGATAAGAACAAGACGCCCGCACGGATTCAAATCACCGCCGAGCAAATCCTCCGGGAGGCCCAGGAGGCAGAGATTCGCCAGCCATAAAATCACCGACCTCACAGAGCTTTCCGACTACCGCCTACGGAAGCGCAAAGAGTTCGAAGACCTAATCCGCCGCCAACGATGGAATGTAGGCGGCTGGATCAAATACGCCAGGTGGGAAGAGTCCCAGAAGGACTTGGGTAGGGCTCGCTCCGTCTGGGAACGAGCCCTAGAAGTCGATTACCGCGACCACACGCTCTGGGTGAAATACGCCGAGGTCGAGATGAGGAACAAGTTCAATAATCACGCCCGAAACGTTTGGGAGAGGGCTGTATCATTGTTGCCTAGGGTTGATCAGCTATGGTACAAATACGTACACATGGAGGAGATGCTCGGGAATGTCGCCGGAGCTCGGCAAGCCTTGGAAAGGTGGATGAGTTGGGAGCCTGATCAGCAAGGGTTGGCTCTCATATATCAAATTCGAACTCCGTTACAATGAAATTGAGAGGGCCAGAGCTATTTTCGAGAGATTCGTGCAATGCTGTCCAGAAGTCAGTGCTTGGATTAGGTTTGCCAAGTTTGAGATGAAGATTGGACAGATTGGGAAGGCGAGGAATTGTTACGAGAGGGCCGTGGAAGATAAGTTGGCTGATGACCACGAGGCGGCGCAGCAGTTGTTTGTGGCTTTCGCGGAGTTTGAAGAGCGGTGTAATGAAACGGAGAGAGCAAGGTGCATATATAAGTTTGCGCTTGATCATAAAGATGATGCAATTGTTGGGAAGAAGAGGTTTTAGTATGAAGATGACGAGGTTAGGAAGAATCCATATTAGATTTCAGAAGCAAAGTCAATATTAGGTTTCATACTATTGTATGGTGTTCTGAATTTCTATTTTGTTTTATTTTTTTGTACAATGTTCTGAATTTTTTTATTCATAATAAAAACTCATTCTTGTCCTTCTTTACTTTATATATTGATTTTCATTCAACTTTATATATTGATGTCAATCATGAGCCTTATTGTTTATTTTGTTGGTTTAGTTTTTTAAGAAAATTTTTTCATGTCTTCAATATTGTACTCCGTACATAAACTTGTTTGGTTGCAGTCTTCTGAAATCTAAATTGAAAGAAAAATAAATAAATAAATAAACTTATTCTTTCATATTGTATTTTCAATAATTCAAAATAGTAAGTGGAATATTTTCCAGGGATTACAGTCCCTAAAAAGCAGTATGGGGATAACTGGATAAGGAAGGAATAGAGGATGCAATTGTTGGGAAGAAGAGGTTTCAGTATGAATCTGAGGTTAGGAAGAATCCACTTAATTACGACTCATGGTTTGATATATGGAGCTGGTTGGTCTTTAGTGGTCTTTTGTGTTGCATGAAATAGAGGATTTGGTTTAAATTCTGTTGATTGTTTGAAGAATTACATGTTTAATGGTTGCACATTAATTCAATTTATTTGTACTCCAGGATTAACTATGCTTTATATGAAGAGCTCGATGCTCAAGACGTGGAGCGTACTAGAGATGTTTACGGGTAACATAATCTTGGACCTAGTATAATTTTTAATTTGTAAAAAACTTGTTTCTTGTGATTTGTTCTGTTAATGCACTTCCTAAAGTTCATCCCCCCAACTCCACCCCATCCCACCCCACCCCTCTAGGTAACATTGTAGGGAACTTGGCATTTCCTTGAGACTGTAAAGACTTAAAAGATGCAATTTTTTTAATTAATTGACTATAGTATGAATGATGTAACAAATTCTGCACCTCTTTTCTCCTGGTAACTGAAGGTAAGTTTTGGATAGAGTCTGGTCGGCATTTTTGTCTAAGACATTAAAACTTTCCTTCTAATCGCAACATTAGGACGGATGATCAGGTGTGAACCAAAGTACCCTCGTGTATAAAGTGCCCTTGTTGCTAAGTTCTACTTGTTTTGAAAGGTCACAGAGGGTGAGTATATGTATAAACAAGCTGAGCCGAGTTGATTCAAGTGCTCATGCTTAGCTAGGATTAGAAAAGGTAGTGCTTGAACTAGGCTTAAAGATTGGGAGGCATATGCTCTGCTCGACGATGTGAGTTTCTAGGCTCCACTGGACTTATTAACCTTTTATTAGAAAAACAGTGTAGTAAACAGATCAGAAAGGTTTCTGGGACTTTATTAGCTGTTACACCCTTATTATTATTATTATTATGCAAAAAAGTTATCATGTAAATAAAAATGTGCTAATATCTTTCTTTCTTTCCTTCCCCTTCCCCCAACCCCCTAACCCATCTCTCCTGCTTATAAAATAGTAAATAAAGGATAAATGCAACAAGCATTAGCTTCTTTGCAGTTAATCACTGAAATGTCAACATAACTCTATGAGTTTATCCACACAGATGTTCTAGGTTGTAAAAAATGTTTTTCAAGAACTAGAGGGTGTCCTAATCTGGAATACTTTGAGCGGGAGCAAGAGGAGAGTGGTATTGTGGCTGAGAGCGTGAGAATATCAAATTTCAAAATTTCACAGACTCAGATGTCATTAGATCGTTATCTATATTCACATATTTTTTACACTTTTGTAAGCATTATGGATTCATAATAACATTCCTTTTAATTATGTTTTTCTGTTTATTATGAAACCCAAAAGCTACTTGTCTCTAGGTGTGTATTAGCCATGGAATTTTTTTTTCACAAGCTATTAGGCATGGATTTCCCTATAAAAGGTTGATTCAAGGCCCCTTCCCTAATATGGATCCTTTTTTTAAATAAAAAAAATAATAATAATGGTTGCAACATAAAATCCTTGGTTAAATATGTTGGTTTGACGTACTAATACTACACGCTCAGGGCGGATTCTGCTCTGCTAAATCGTATGGACAGATACCTTAGGCTTCGATGTAGAGTCGTGCAAGGTCCGCGAGATAGACCTAGAGGAGTGAATAGGTCTTGTTCGTTGGATTAATGGTTTATAACAACTTTTGGAATTTAAACTTAAGTACCTGAAATTTTAAATTAAAACTATTTACTAAATAACTAATTACATTCAATTCATTATATGTTAATAAATCATGTAATTATAAGATTTAAAGCAGTAAAGCATAAGAGATGAACACAAGGATTTTTTATGTGAAAAACCCAATTGGGAATAACCAATTGCATGGACATCCATCCTTCAGGATAACATTAAGCGGAGGAGACAAATTGTGGTCAACTGGTGTTTTATGTGTAAGAATGATGAGGAAACAATGGATCACCTTCTTTTGCGCTGTCCAGTGGCTTGGGATTGTTGGGTTTTGTTGCTGGGCTTGTTTGGGGTTCAGT